TTTGAAAAGGCAAAAGCTCTGGGTCACTGAGACTGAAGAATGGGCTGTCTGAGGGCCTCCCCCCACCTTAACTCTTTGAAACCTTGCTCCAGTGTCTTAGAGAGACACGTCTTAAAATATCCCGAAAGGGGTGTTTAAAGGCTGCTTTTGCAGCAGGGAAGGGGACTGGAGATGGGAAAAATCCTGGCAGCAAGAAGGCAGCAGGAAGGTGCCACGTACCTCTGAAATGAAAATTCGCTTACGTGCAGCTGTAGGCAGACTTGGGGAGAGTTTGCAACGTTTAGCATGGACACAAATGTCTTCCTGGGGACTTGAAAATATCTGTGAAAATAGGAGAGCAAAAGCAAGTTAGAGCTGCGTCAGGCACAGAAACCTGCAGCATGCTGCAGGGTGTGAAATCAGAAAGCGGCACTGACTAGAAAGAAAGATACAAATAACCTAATTGCTGTTTTAGTTAACAAACTAACTAACTAACTAAAAGCCTAAAGCAACAGCAAAGATCCTGAAACATAAACCAGTGTTTAAAAACATTCAAACAATGTGACCACTTGTTATTACTGTCGGAAGCAAAGAAAGTTTCAGTGTAACTTTGAGTGTTTACGGCCATCTCAAGTCACAGCCCGGCCACAGATTTCTCAAAACCCTTCTGAGAGATGATGCCAATCCCCTCTTTCCCCTCATTTTCCAGCGCTGTGCCAGGCCCTCGCTGCTGGTGGTACTGGAGCTGGGTGCGGGCTGTGGTTGGGGTCTGGGGCTGGTGGGTGCCAGCCCTGCTGACGTGCCGGGGAGCAGAAGGGAGCCCCTTGGACCAGGGCAGGATACGGCCCCTGCACCTCCCTGCCTGTAAACTGCAAAATGGAGACTGGGCTTCTGGGTGCCTGTAAACTGCTTGGAGGATGACAGCTGGGAAGAGATGCATAAGCAATAAAATCATCATCCTGGGTTTATTTTTGTTCCTTTGCCATCCGTCGGCATCCCTGCAGTGTAAGGAAATTGAGGGCTAGAGGGAGAGGAGGCAGAAACACTTGCCTGGTAGCCTCATATTAGTGTTCCTAATTATTGAATTAATCCTCTGTTCATACAGTATGCTTCCTTCCTGCTGCTCTTTGTAAGTGGTCAAAAATATGTGCTGTATAGTCAATACAAGCATAATATCTGACCAAAAGACATTGAAAGGAAAAAGAGATTACTAAAAAGAAACACAAGAGTCAAGTTCCCCCATCTTTTACATGACTTACATTATTTTAATTAGTGGCTTGTTTTTATTTCTAGTCACAGTAAGATTTTCCATAGATGGGCCTTAAGGAACGTAGAGATACCGTTGGCAGATTTCTGTTCAGTAACTGAAGCTATTGTCCTGGGTTATGGGAATGTCCTGAAAAACAAATCATCAGTTTTTATTGAGGTATCCTCAGAATTTTGAAGTGCTGGGTGGCACTCGGGGCCATGGGGTGATGGAGCCCAGCAGCTCACGGGCTGGCTCTGAGCCTGGTGTGGTTTCCTGGTGGTACAGCCTTGGTTAGCTGCTCTCATGGCTCTACACCCTCCTGGCTATAAGCATCGCTGTTTAAAATTCAGCCTTAATCTGTGTTTCTCATTCATTTTGATAAAGCATAAAAGCATAGAGAACTTCAACACATTACTCTCTCTTACAGAACTCTTCCTTCATGTTGACTGTGAGCACTGTGACTTAGTAATACAACTTTTTTTCCTGTGGACAGGCAGGGTCTCAGCCAAATCCCTTAAAAGTCCTTTGAGCTTTTCTGTTGATTTTACTGGTAGTTGGATCTCACTGAGCTTTAGACTGAGCAGTAAACAGCACACAAGGTGAAGTCTTATTTCTTTTGCACTTGTTGAGTACCAACGTCCCTGATGTGAGGGTCAGTTTTGGGCAGCTTTCTACAGCAGAAGTCACCAGAGTCCTGGTTTGGAGCACAAAGGGCTTTGTGGCTCCTCTTGCCTTGGCCAGGTGCTGGGTGCTCAGCACCTCGGGGCTCACATAATGCATCCGCAGGAGGATCTTACACAGACTTGAACCGTCCTCTGACTTCCAGTGCCAAAGGCTCTTAGAGCAAACCCCTGTTTATGGCGAACTGCATGCTTTCCCTCATCTGCGTGTCCAAAAAAGGAGGTTGTCTTCCCATAAAACACTCTCCTGATCACACCCCTCTGCAAATCACCTGGCAGAAAATGCTGGGGCATTGGGGAAGCTTTTTTTTTCCTTCGTATTACTTAGAGTGTGCTTACGCCCATTTTCCCTTAAGACAGGAAGCCTAAATCCACTTTCTTCCCATTGTTCTCTCTCATATTTCTCCTGTGGTTGTTCCAGCAAGTGAGTCCTTATGCTGTATTTATGTGCAACGAAAGCAAGACAAGAGAAAGGGAATAACTGCTCAGGGTATTAACCTGGGAGGTGGAAGGGTCTGAAGCTGTCCTGAAACTCTTCTTTTACTGAAACCCTCCACCTATGCTGAGGGTACACTGCCCACTGTGAGCTCCACAGAGGTAGGCAGGAGCATCCACTACCAACATGACCTTGAAAGAAGAGTTCTTGTGAATAAACACAGCACAGAAACTCGGTTTTAATCCATTATTTATTTAAAAATCAGTATTCCCCCATCCCCTTTGGATCACTACTCCATCAGGAACACGACTGGGTTGTATCTGTGGGCTACAGGCACCCCAGCACCCAGCCAGCTGAGGCTGTTCACATACCTGAAATATTTTCCTGACTACAAAGTTTCTGTCAAGCTGTGGCTCATAAGGAACAAAGGGGCAACAAACTGAGCTGGTGAATATTGCTGAGGTCCCATTAAGCAAGCACTGTGATGCTGATTTACACCTGCAGACCATTTAGGCCAGTACATCCTGCCCTACCCTGGCAATTGTATGAATTAAGCCTGCTTACAAAATACCCACATGTGAGCCAGACGAGTGGTGTTTGACAAACCTGTTTGAAATCTCATTAAATATCTGTCCCTCTTCATTCATGAGTGTTAAGTGTTCTACTGCTAGCTTTCAGCTGAAAGGGATGTTTTTAGTTAGGAGAAATGTCTTACTCAGACCTCTCAAATCTTAAATATTACTAATTTTGCCACCACAAAGCAACTGTAAAGTTTTTGTTTTGTTCTTATTAGTGTAAACTAACAAAAACTGGTTTTGGCACAAATGCCAGGTTTTTTCTTTGCTTTTAATATACGTAACAATGTAAGGATGATATTGGCAGTAGCTGTTATCTTGCTGTGTTATTATTCAGAGGATTTACATTTATTCTACTCTAGCTATGCAGTTTCTAATTTAGCAAACCAGGACTGGCAACACAGACTTTCTCAGTGTCAGAAACTTCATTTTATGGTGACTTTCCCAAAGGAAAAAAAAAATAAATGACGCTGTCTTTCATTTGAAACCGAGCATTTGCAGGAAGGCTTTGCAGTTTTGCATCCAAAAGCCTTGCCTGGAGCTTGTTAGGAGCCGTAAAGCTTCCAGTGTGACAAATAGATGTGTCAAAAAATCATGTAATATTCAGTAGCAGAAGGGGGTGGGTTTCGCCCATCTGCGAGAAACTGGAATAAGGCTCCCACCGCCGGGAACTGGAGCCTCCAGTGCCTCAAGGGTTACACTGGGGCACGGCTGCTGCTGCGTTAATACAGCCTAAGCTGATATTAGCCAAGCTTAACTTCTTTCAGCAGTTTGCAGATGGGAAGGGGGTGGGACGTCCCGGAGTCAGCAGTTCTTCAACAAGTTCATGAGCGGCGGCTGGCCGAGCCCTGGCCATGAGCTGACCGTAGGCTGGGGGAGAGGAGGGCGGCCGGTGTCCCCCGGAGCTGGTAAGTCCAAGGTTATTTTTAGTTTTATTCTTGAAATGTCAGTGAGGAGCTCAAGTGGGACCCTGGAGGGCTTTACCCTTCGCCCCAAGCGCTGCTGCGGTTGGGCTCTAGGATGCCAAGCAAAATAAAACTGCAAAAAAAATAACAACAACAACAAAAAAGGTGTGTGTGAGACCCCTCTATGCAGAGAGGGACCCCACGGGCGCTGCTGCTGCGGGGGAAAATGGTCTTGGCTGCGTTTCTTGGTGTTGCAATGCGGGGAGAGCCCGGCGGCGTGGCTGGCACATGGGGATGGAGCACCAGCCTCAGAAAGAGCTTGTGGCTTTCGCAGTTTCCTGTTGTTTCAGATGTTTCTAACAGTTTTTTGGGGGGGTTAGTGGGGGGAGATCCAGCCCGGCGCTGGCTGGAGATGCCAGGGCTACAGGCAGCCGGTCCCGCGTGGGCTGGGGGGGGCTCCAGCACAGGGGTGATGGTGGGTGCTGCTTGGGGACCCCCCTAAGCCCCTCCGTGGGCTCAGTGGGGACAAAGTCACTTGGCTGCAGAGATGGAGGCTGGTCTCTGGGGCTGCGCCGGGGCAGGGGGCTCTGAAGGTTTAGGTTTCCTAGGCCCAAACTCTTGGCCCTGCGCGTCAGGGCTTGTTTCTGATAGCAGGAGCTCTGCAGAGACCGGCAAACTCATTTCATTTGTGGACGACAGCCTGGGCTGTCCGTGTATTAAGTTTCAACCACCTGGTCTTTAAGGCGGGCTCTTTGTGATGGCCCTTAGTGGGATGTCCCAGTTCTGGTGACTGACACGTGCCTTTGCCAAAGCTCCACGGCAGTGGTGGGTTCCAGGAATTAAACGTTCTGTGGGATGCGGTTCCTCATCAGACACTGAGGATTCACAGCACGTAATCACCCATGTGCCCTGTCCCTGGGGGAAGAGCCTGCCGGTGCGTGGGGTGTGAACACTGGTGGGGGTGTACCCCGGTGTTAGGCTCAGGGTGTGGAAACCTGCTCTCTAGGCGTGGAATACCCACGCTGGACAAGTGGGGTGCCTTGCTGACCGTGTCACGTTAGCGTGCGCGCGTGCGTCCCATCCTTCGGTGTGATGGGGACAGGGCGGGTCGGGGGGATGCGGGGAGGATGCTGCCAGAGGTTTTGGAGAGGCTCCTGCAGGGCCCCTGCTTGTTTCTGGAGGTGCAGAGCACGGCGGGATGGGCCTGGCCCCTGGCACGGCCGCCGCGGTGGCTGCGTGTGACACCGGGACCTCCTCAGAAAAATCTCCTGCACCAACCCAACCTGTGGTTATTCGCTGTTTTCCAGTGTGGCGAGAGTGGTCCCCGACACGGCGATGGTTTCTGCAGCAATATATCTGTTTTTTTACCGGCATCACTTGCAAGAGGGAGACTTGATTATGTTCCCGTAGAAGCACGGTGATACTCTCACACACGGGGGGGTTATTTTGGGGGAGCTCTGGCTGTCTGCAGGCACCGTGTGTTGGCGTGGGGCCCGGGTGGGCAGAGGCCACGGCAGGAGCCAGCAGGCCTGTGCCCAGGGAGATGCTTTCCTTCAGGTCTTTTGGCACATGGCCTGCCTCCTCACCTTTATTTTCCTGCCCTTTATTGCAAGATTGCCAAATAGACCTTGAGCAACTTTCAGAGCTGCCTTCGGCTGCTAGTTTGTTTTGGGATGAAGCCTGGGCCTGATTCAGGCAGTCGTGTTCTGTGTGCACAGGGTCTGGATAAAACCTCGCTCTCTTTGGGTGTACTTACACCTCTGGTGTCCCCTCACTCCTTCCCATTTGCGTGGACAGGATCCTTCAGGAAAGCACTACAACTTGCAGGGCCCGTGACTGGTAATTAACCTGGTTTAACTGTAGACAGCTTACTGTAAGTGAGGGATACAACTGCATTTATTACACTCAGATCATGACATGACTGTTATTTTTTTAAAGCTCCCATTTTCAATGTCATTTTCGAGCTTCAGATTCCACCGTGATAGTCATAACACCGTCTTCATGGGCACACGTTTGCATGCAATTGGCAGAGGGGTTTTGGGTCTGCTCATTGCTCATATGGCTCCGCTTTTACTGCTGTGGCAGGTCAGCAAGTTTTGGAGCTCTTCAAGCTGTAAGACTGGCTTAAGGGAATTGGTCCTTATAATAAAGACAGTGCTTAGCTGTTATACGGTACGAGATAGCAGGTCTCAGCCTCAGTCTATGTTTTCTGCAGCAGCAGATGAAAATCTGCAGTGTGATACTGCATGGGCAGCATCCTGCAAACAGCAACGGGCCTGATCTCCAGGGTCCTCATGGCTGAAGGCAATGCCAGCTGCAGCTTGGCCCAATTAGCCCTTCTGAAAACACTTTCTACATAACTGTTGATATTACAGAAGGCAACACGAAATTGAAATTTGACCAAATAAGAGTTTCTGGCCAGTCTGAGCTGTCAGTAAAATAACACATGGCTGGGAAGTGGTGTCCAAAATGTTCCAGTTCTTTCCTATCCTCTGCAGACTAGCTCTGAGCATGCCATTGCATCATCTCTTAAGCATTGTGGAAGGTCTTCTGTTATATGCTTGGTTAGGTTTCTACGTCACTTCAGATGATGAATTCCCAGGGCTGCCATACTTGCACAAATACAAAGCAATGGCCACGCAGGATGCTCCGGGCGTTATTCAGAAACCCCTTTATTCTGGCACTGCCGCCAAAAGGAACAGCGGGGACAAACTCAGCAGCAGCGCTCCTGATGCCGTATCATCAGCCCAGGCTGGGTTGTGGTTGGAAACTGACTGTTTTTTCCTGTTACTTTTGTGGGATGCTTTTGTGCCAGCTCGGTTGCCTGCTCCGGCCAACAGCCATGCACCCCAAGGTGGGCATAAGGCAGAGGGGAGCACTGGCTGGTGGTGGGGAGCCCCACGGCCCCGTCCAGCAGTGGTGAGGGTTTGGGTCTCCCCAAGCAGAAAAGAAACTCGGTGCAGTATGTAGTGGGAGAGCAGCCAGGGCCAGCTCCTGCCTTCTGGTGTCCCTTCAACCCTCCCTGTGTCACTGTGACCGGTCTCACGCGTACTGACCGTGCAGACATGGTCAAGGGAATGGTCATGGAGAGCTGAGCTGAGCTGGGGACTGGCACTGGGGGGACCTGCCTACATGCCTGTCCTTGCCTGGCAGTGACCTGCAGTGGGAACAGGGCAGAGCCAGCTCACAACAGCCAAAGCTTCTTGCTTCTTCCCTCCCTGGGCATGCAAAAGTGGAAAATGTCACCCTAAATCCTTCCTCTACCCAGCCCTGGACTGAGATGGGTGCAGAGGGCCTGGATTTGGCGTGTTCAGGTGGGGAGACTGAAAATGAGCCCTGCAGCGAGGTGCAGAGGGGGTTACATCCCACCCGGGTGCATTGAAGGGCAGCGTGTAGTCTGCAGGGGTACAAAAAGTGACCCCCAAGGGCTCTGAGTAGCCTGTGGGTTGGGGCTGACAGTGCCTGAGTGTCAAGGCTGAGGCAGGCAGCACTACTGCAAATTGCAGCCTCTGCTGAGCAATGAAAGGTGTGCTTGTCATAGAAGAAAGAATGGAGAAGGAAAAAAAAACAAACAAAAACAACAAAAAAAATTAAACAAACAAACAAACAAAAAAAAACCCACCAACCCCCCAAAAATGGAACTAGAACAAGGAAATGGAATTAGCAAGGTCTGGAGCTGAACTTCCCCAACCCGCTGGGTGCTGTGGCTGGACACCCCCTTTCCTTCCCTACCACACCTGGCTGGTGGTCCCTGCACCTCTGCACTGACGCTGCTGCAGAAACCTTGGGTTACTGGGGTTCTTTGCAGGACCATGGCCTCCATGGTACTGAGCTTTGTTTAAATCCAATCAATATTTGAAGGCAAATGTCAAAACTTTGCCTGGCAACAAGCTGACAAGCTCTTTGCCGAGCACCATCGTCTTTCCGCTCTGCAAAAACCGGCTGTCGTGGGTGCAGCTGCCTTTTCCCTCTCCATTCAGTGCTTCTCTTTGTGCTCTGCCCCAGATAACTATTTTTACGCAATTATTTAAGCTGTTTGTTCGTTGCCTGTCACACGGTGTTCAAGAACCATATAGTATATGGGTCAATCAACCATCGACGTCATTCAAAAAAACCCACAAAAAATACCCCCCCAACCCCTTCTTCACAAGAACTGAGATTTACAAGCGGTCGCGGGTACCTCTGGGAAGGGGGGAGCTTTGCAGATGCTCTGCGAGCAGCTTCCAGAGCTGAACCCCAACCCTAGCAAGAGCAGCACTGGCATGCAACACAGGGACAGAAAACAGCCCCAGCAAACATGCACAGGACTCACTGGCACCTGTAAACTTTGCTGTGAGGCTGAGGGGCAGATTCTGTCCCCCTTTAGTCCCCTCCACGGGTTTGTCCCCTGGGCCACACCACCGTCGGGCAGGGGAGGATCAGGCTGTGATTCCCCCCGAAAATTCTGCAGCCCTTGAGCTGGTTTTGCCCCAGCTGTATGAGAGGTCCCAGCAGAGCTGCAGGGAAAAGACCAAAGAGCCAGAAAGCCACACAGCTTTGCGGGTTTGCTTTTTCTTCTGGCTGGCTTACATTTTAGCTTGGGCAAGCACGCAGCAGCCACGCTGGCACGGGAGGGATGTGATGAGGAGGACAGCGGGCACAGAAATAGCCCAGATGGATTTTGCCATCTGAACTTCATCTTCTGTTTTTTAACCTGGTCAATGAAACCTTGTGACTCTGATTCATCGCGTCCTAGCACTCAGTAATGTTTTAAGGACATTTCAGCAGTTAGCGGAGCTTTTTCTTCACGGTGCCTTAAGCAATTGATAGACTTCAGAGACGACAGAGCTCTGTGCTGTTGAGTTTTTCCCCTTCTAGTAGGAAACTTAAAATACTTGCACAGGCTTCCTAATGCTCCGTTTTCCAGATGAGTGGCAGATTTGGTCCGGGATCCCAGTCTCAGCTTTTCTGTACGGGTGAGTCACGGTGGCTTCAGACTACGGCGGTGCCGATCTGCTCGGGGGTGCAGCAGGTATTTTTAGGATGGCTCACATCTGTGAGCTGTGCCTGAGTGCGGTGAGGAGGTGTGGGACTGGAGGATGGAGCTTTCCGGGGAGCGGGGTTGGCATCAGCAGCTGGAGAGGTGAGAAGATGGACCCGACACAGAGGGATGAGGATGAGCGGACGGCGTGGCTCTGAGCACGCGGCGTTTCCAGCCAGCCGGGGGGTGGATTTTGCTCTCTGAAATACTACACGTGTGTAAAGTAAGATTTCCACACAGCCGCTGAATTATTTATTGAATAATTTCCCTTGGCAAGGGGCTGGTATGCTGTAGATATTTTGGATACTTTAAATACCTCTATTTATGTGCGATTACTGTGCTCTTTCTGTAAAGCCAGCCTTCCAGGACATTGAGCTCCTTGTTAGCATTTTCCCCTTTTTAGTGGGTGCTTGCAAAGATCTTGTGTCTTGCAAATGTGTTTCTCGGCAGTGCCCGGAGCTGGAGGCCAGAGCCACTCCTCGGGGTTGCTTGGAGATCCCCACCCTTTGTCTGTGGTGGTTGGGGTGACATTGGGGTGGTGTTGGGGTGGCTTTGGGGAGGCTGGAGGGTCCCTGCATCCAGCGATGGGCTCTGCCATCAGCTCTGGCCCCGGGAGCCTCAGCAGCAGAGAGTGGGGCCGTGGGTGTGCTGAGGAGGAGTCTGTTCTGCTCATGCACCACATCCTTGGTGAGAAGCTTTTTCAGGAGCATGAGATGCCTCTGCAATAATGCTGGTGGCACAAGTGTTCCTCATCAGCCACTCAGAGCAGGGGGAAATTTAATTTTTTTAATGTATATATTTATTTTGTATATATATATGCGCACATGCACACAAACATATACATCCACATATGCAGATATATAACTGTGTATATATATGTATATATAATGGTACCCAATCCTTTGGCAGACTTATCTCTGAGACAATTTTTCCGCACCCAGAGCGAACCTGCTTGCATCTCGTAAAAAAAAAAAAAAAAAAAAAAAAAAAATCCAGCTTATATCACCAAGACAAGTTTACACCACAGCCCCAACCCCATGCCAACCCGGTGCCCTTCATTCATCCCCAACCTCTCCCTGCTCCCCGCAGTAACCAGAGGTCATGTGAAAGCATCACCAGCTTCCTCACCGTGAAGTTTATTTGTCTTATTCCTCTCCAGCAGATCAAAGAGGCTTGACCCTGCTGTAAAGCCTTTTTCCACAGCAGATAACTCTGTCTTGCTGGCGGGGTGGGGGGGGAGGGGAGTGGGGGGCAGTGGCACGAGGACGGTCCCCGACAGCCCACGTCTGCTTCCCGTGCCCCAGATAGCCAGTTCGGGGTGCACTGAGCCCCCAGAGAGCTCCGCCGCCGCGAAAGCAATTCAAGCTAAAGAGGCTTATGTACCACTGAAACCTCGTTCTTTAATAGTCTTGTTGGCAAAAGGCCAGTTTAGCAGATTGCATGGGTCTGATTCCCAAAGAAAGGGGGAGAAGGACATTTTTCATTGGGAAAAATAAAATATCAAAATTATAACCTGATTTTATTCCATTTCTTGCTTACTGGGTGCTTCTCCAGTGTCTGCTCCCCAGAGAGATGCCACAGCCTCACAGGCATTGTGTGCTTCTCTTCCCTTGTTCACCATCCGTGCAAATAGACATCCCAGAGCAAATCCATGCTCTGCATCTGTTGCCTCTCATACCTTCTTATGCTGTCCGAGTCTCGGCATAATAATCCTAAAAAAATGCAATTTTGTCTCTAAACTGGTTCCTTTTTTTTTTTCCTTTTTTTCCCGAATTATGACTCACTGATTTATAGTGGAACCATAGTCAATAAGACATGATTAAATATCAAATTATGATTTGACCCTGCAAAGAATTGTGTAATCTAAGTAAAACACAGTAATTGTGGTTTATATATTGTTGTACTTGGGAGTCAGTTATTTCACTCGCAGTGGATAAAATTAAGCATCTGCAGGAGTTTATTTTGGTCTGGCTTTGGTGGGTAGGGGGGCATTTTTTTTTAATGGAAAACACATTTTTGATGAAAATATACTGTCCCCAAAATCAAAGCAGTGATACATCACACGGAAGCCATGGGAATTCGCTTCGGTGTGGTCTGACTGAAGGTGGGAGACATTGAACGGGGAAAAGGGCTATTGTGAAACATGTCCCTTTAGAGGAGCAAAAGGAGGTAAAGTTTAAAAAAGTTTTAAATAGTATTAGCCTCGGCTTGGCTGATAATCCCAATAATTGCTGAATCCCAAGTAGTTGCAGCTGACGAATCCCTGCGGCGTGCAGAGGGTCCCTGTGTCCACATCCAAGTGTGAGGGGGGCCGGGGTCGCCGGTGCCCCGGGCGCTGGCGGAGGGACGCAGCCCGGGGAATGATGCGTTTGGGGTCACTGCTGTGGCGGCATGTTTGTACCACAGTCACACGGGTAGGACGGGAAGCAGGTAAGGGTCATGCAGAACTAAGAACCATTCGTCCTGTGCTTCGTTTCGGGGGTGTTTACTGGGTTTCTGCACACTGGTTCTTTCATAGTTTCTGATACTTTTGGTGCTCATATTTTTCCCTTTACGTTTATCATCCCCTTCACTCTCAAGCAGTTTGTAAGGCTCGCTGGTTGTCTGGCTTCCCGTCTCATGGCAGTGAAGCTCTTCTGCAAGGTTTTCAGTAGCTATCTATAATGATCAATTGGTATATAATGGCATTTCGTCTCTGTGCATAACACTGTTCATCTGGCTTTGTGCCTGCTATGAAGGGTGGCATTACCATTTCCATAAACACTATAGCATGAAACTGTTAAAACAGAGAATAAAATGGACCTAATCTCAAACTAGCTAAAAACCAAAAGGTGGCCAAGTGCCCTGAGCTTCCCAAATTTTCTCCTCTTTAATTAAAACAAATGAGAAAAAATCTGCAGGTTCTAAATAAACTGGGTATTAAACTGGCTGAAGGACGACAAGGGCTGGACTTCAGTTTTTCTGGTTGGAGATTTCATTAGATCACTTGTTCTCATAAAATTTGTTGCGTCTCTGCCTACGCAAGTGTGAGACTGGTCTGGTGCGGGATGACCGGTGTCCCCCTCCTCGGCTGAGCCCCTCCACAACCCTGGGGGGCCTGAGCCTGGGAACTGAGGGTTTATCCAGCTCCTCGTCTTCTGTGCCCGTACCAGGAAAATTTGTGGAGGTGCTTGGCATCATCTCTGGTTTTAATTACAGCAGTGATTAGGAATTCATAGCCTGTGGTTTCCCAAGAGCTGCTGCTCTGGCCAAGTTGGAGAAAGTCAGAGGTACCTGAGCCGCATTTAATGACAGCGGGTCATCCCAGGATTGCTGTCCCACTGGCTGCTTGGAAAAAGGGAAATAAAAAAAAAAAAAAAAAAAAAAAAAAAAAGGTACTTTGCAAGCAATACACAAAATTGCCAAATGCCCTCTGCCTGTGCAGTTACAGGCATTTTCAGAAACACGTTAATCATTGCAATAGCCTTCGTTTAAATTAGCAAATGGGTTCCAGTGATGCAGCCCGACTAATACCTGCTAGTTCTATGTCTCCCTGTGAATTCTGATGTTCCCTTACCCTCTGTAAATGGGGACTCACATAGTGACAGTCACAAGATGACGTGAATCCATCTCAGAGTCACCTGAGCCTTGTGTACACAGTTTTAATTCTGCAGGGCAAGGTAAGGGAGGATGGTCCAAACTTTGCTGGGTGCTTCCTTGTGCAAATCTTCTGTCACTGACCCTGTTTCGGGAAAGCCACTACAGATCTCAGAGCCTGGGGTCTGCGGAGATGAACGTGCGAAAACACAGCTTTAAGAGTTCAGAAAGCTTATACTGTTTCACTTGAGTGAAATCCCTCTAAATCTGCCTCTCTGGAGCGAGATGGTTTAGATCCTGTAAATTCTGTGATGAGTGAGCAGGCGGTGCCGTAGCCAAGGACACGGATCTGTGGTGAGTGCTGGCTGGCTTGGATGATATTCTCGCTGCGGCTCACACGGAGAGGAGCTGCAGGTCTGCAGGCTCGGAGCTGCCGTTCGTAGTTCCCCACTGCAAATAGTTAATTCTCGCAGACAGACTGAAAAGCCGCTGATTTGAATTTGGTTTAGTGCCATCAAGTCAAATGTAAGGAGCCTTTTTTTTGGTGCCTGAATATAGGGATAGTAATTAGACGCTTTGCCCAGTTTCCAATGTAAAATGAATCACCCGCCTCTTCCCTACCCTGCTGTGACTGCGTGGTGGGCAGGAAGATACAGGCATCTCAAAAGGAGTTTTCCTTCCCAAGCCCAAGCGCTGATGTAATGGTAGGAAGGATGTGACTGCACGGCTGCACAGGATGGGTAAAATTTTAATTGCATTATGCATACACCAGTAGTTTGAGGTTGTTCCCACACTGGTTTATGTCACTAAAGCTCCATTGACTGCACTGGAGTTACAGAATCACTTCCAGCGGGGAAAGATCAAAACTGAATCGCACAATAGTGCCATTTGTAACCGAAAAAAAAAAAAAAAAAAAAGAAAATAAAAAAAGACATTGTCCCTGTGGTGATTGCCTGTTAACAAAGCCTGGTTGGTGATTCGAAGCCCGGTGTTACTGCTGGCTGCCCAGTGGCTGGCTGCAGAATCCCTGGTCACCCCAAACCCTGGGCTTGGGAGGTTTCAGGCACGTTGGGCAATTTGGGCAGCCCTGGACTCTTGCCCATGGCTGTACCCTCCTAAGAACTAACCAGCACTTCTTCCTTGCTGAAAACCGCTTTCTTCTGTCCCCCCTTGCAAATTTGTTCCTCTTTTCTCTGCCATGGGAATGTTTTAGAAGTCCAGTGGTAACGTGAAGTCCCGTTTGGAACAAATGGAAATGTCAGTGTTTCCCTGTGCCATGTGCATGGATGCTCTGCACCGCTTGCTCGCAGGGAGCACACAGTGGATTCACCGCAGGTAACAGAAATGGGGCAAAACCGCTGGAAAAGGGGTGTGGAGAGCGTCCCACCGCTGCTCCTGACACCAAGGGGCTGGCAGCGGCTGCTGGCAGTGTGCTCTGGGGTATAACGCTGCCTTGCTGATGGGAAACCCAGCCCAACCGTGCTGGCTTTTAAAAAAATTATTATTTATTTTCATGATCACATGTGAAATGTATTCACAGAGCATGTGACCGTGAGTTTCACAGCTCGATTCAGCTGTGACCCAGGGAGACCCGAGCCCCGTTTCTGCAGGCGAGGGAGAAGCAGCCTCTACTGGGATGGGAGGGTGCCGGGGTGCTTCTCCCCTGGGGTAAGAGGGTTCTGGGGTGTTTCTCCCCTGTCTGGACCACGCTGCTCCTCCCAAACACACCTGGGCCCCTTTCCTGGCCACCTTCCCAAGGCAGGTTTGCAGCCTCAAGCAGATCAGATCAAGTACGGGCTCATCACGAATCACTTCAGGATGCCAAAATCAAGATTAACTGTTGCGAAAGCTGGATGTGCTTTGTAGTGCAAAAATCAAATGTGATCAGAAACGGGGGTCAGCGACTGAAGTTACAGGTCTCAGGTTGAATAAGAGGATTTAAAGGCGCTGGGAACTTCCCTTGACTGGGTAAGTTCACTCCTGAGAACAGGATCTTGCTCTCAATGTTTATGTTTAGTCTTCATTGAGCTTGGATTACTCAGTGAAAGTAGGAAAAGGTAAGCAGATGAGTTTGAAAACCTTCACCTCGCCACATTAGCGCTTGTGCTTAACGATCCCAGGGAGCCCAGCACAAGTCTTGCAGTTGGGCTGAAAACTGAGTGGTTTCTGCTTTCAAGTGTATTTTCTGATATTATTTCCCATTGCTGATATTCCCATCACTGAGGCATTCCCCTGAGATGCCCTGCAACGTACTTCAAATGAGTCACTAAGAAGAACTACTTACATATTTAGTCTTTTTGAATTCAATTAAAGGATCTAAAAATCCTTGCAGACTTTGTGGTCGCAAGAATCTCTAAGTTCACCATAGAAATGTGCTGACCTCCCTGGGCCAGCAGCTTCCCTTGAGCAGGGAAAAGTGAATTTCTATCCTCCAGTCATTTATTTAATCCATCTGATGTGGTTATGAATGAAAGATTTGGGCATCAGTTCCAGGGTTATAATCTGCTGCATGACAAAAGCTTCAGGTTGATGGTAAAGAATAGCTCAAGTAGGAATTTAGCAGAAGGCAGCAGAACGTGGCACAAGTGCTCAGAAATCATAAATGTACCATGAGCACTTGATTGAGATGAATGTTCTGATTTTTACCCCTGGGAGCAGATGGAATAAGTGCAATTTAAGCAGTTTCCCTGTAGGTCTTGTGTAACTTTGGCTGCTGCAGCATGTTTTACCTCGCGGCAGATGCTGCTGACAGCACCCTGCTCGTGGCACTCGGTGGCCCACGCTGCCCCTGCCAGCACCCCAATAAGGGGAATATGTTCCACACAAACTCAGGGAGCATCGCACCCATCGCTTTGCTCAAGCCAAATACCTTCCAGTAATTATAAGCGACTCTGAATTCTGTATTAAAGCATTGTGTCTTTTTTTTTTGACAGATAAAAAGCGCACTTTTGATATCCCCAGAGCAAATTTTTCAAAATCTTGGTACTTACATAAATCACACCTGATACATGTCAAAGGGATGCAGAGTCGATAAAGGTGTGATCGTGCTTTCTTCGTTATCCGTGTTATAACCGAAGTACTTTTATTCCCGTGTTGGATAGGGTCTGTCTTCCAACACTTGTTCTTTTTGTCACAATTCTGACTCTCGTGATCCTTTTGGCAACACATCCCCCCCACAGCAGCGCTGCTGCTGCTTCGTGTTCCCATGAGCACCCTCCCAGCTTTCCACTTCCAGCTTGGCTGCACAGGTGTGTACAAACCACCACTCGCAGGCTGATGTCAAGGGAGTTATTCTCAAGAATTCAGTGTAACCAGCAGCTGTGGCAAACTGGGCAGACACCTTTGGTGGGACAGGCTGTGTTTCTGAGAACGGATAGTTTTAAGTGGGACTTGTTGAAATGAAATATTTTTGCACAAACAGCGATTTCATCGGTAAATGAATAGCTCCCTCACTGAGCACTCCCGCTGTTTGTAGTTTGCTAGTAAAAGTGTGTTGGGCAAGATGCTTTTCATAGCCTGCTGTGGAGAAATATTGAGGGGAAAAGTCAGCGCTCTGTCTCAGTTCATCCTAACATCGTTGCAGCCACGTGGTCAATATTTTATCTGATGTGGAGATTTCTGGAAACATGCTCAAAGCTCAGGAGATAATTACGCCACGGAGGGGTAACATCCTCTGGCTGCTGTTTCATTTGCTGCGATCATTGCAGCCATTCTTGGAGGGGCTGGTTGTGTTCCCTGGGGGTTTGCAGAGTCGGGAGTTCTGGGGGGAGTGGAGATGGCTGTGGGATGCTGGGCTAGAGGCCACAGGAGGGAGGTGGCCCCGCTCTGTGTCACTGCCGCCGCTCCCTGCTGCCCACCACCATGTCGTAGCCCAACAACGGGTGAGGTTAATTGTTTGCTGTGTTTTTTTTTCGCTCATGCAAACTTTAAAAACCTCCTGTGGAGCCTCGTGTGAGGGGTGCCCCACGTTTGCAGGCTGGGCTGTGCCCGCCTCCAGAGCTCACCCAGCACAAATACGGGAAAAGGCTGCGAGAGAGCCGTCCTGACCTTCCGTGTAACCCAGACACTGTTCCCAGGAGGAAAAAAGCTGGTTAGTGTTAACGTCAGTGGTGCCGTTGTGTGGGAAGTCCTGGCCCCCCCATAGGAGCAAAGCCCCCCCCCATTAATCCCTCAGTAGCTCGACAAGCTGGAGCGAGGCCAGAGGGGGAGAAGAAAGGGGCTGCCTGGGCTCCTGTAGCAGAAAAGCTTTTTCTTTAAGATCTTGACTGCTGGTAAAGTCAGAAATAGAGCTGTGGGGCTTAACAGGAAATCTTAACTGTTTGGATCCCCTCCTCTGCAGCGTCTGCTTGGCCTGTGCCTCGCAGGGCTGGCCGTTATTGGAGACTCCCTGGCAGGGAGTTGATACTGGGCTGTTACTGTAAATACGAGTTATTTAAAATGCCTCTTGTGTACTCAACACCCAACACTCCTCCGTGCACAGCCCTCTTTACAGAAAATAAGAGAAGGTTTTCTCTTTGCTTCTATTTCTGGTGCTGTCAGAGCAGTGTGGGGGCGGGGGGGTCCCCAGCAGCCCCGTTGTGTCTGAGGAGCCGAGGCTCCAGCCCTTCTCCTCTCGTGCTGGGACAGCCCGTTGGGGAATGCCCTGGCACTTCTCCCTCCTGAGGGCCACCCATCTCCCCAGCAGAGCACCCTGAGGCCTCACATCTGCTGGGTGCAGGACAGGGGCCCTGCAGTGGTGTGCTTTCAGCCTGATACCCCGGCACTCCCTTATCCCCGCCCCGCAGTCCCCTGTTGTTTCTTCCAGGAAACATTTCAGCGATGAAACGAAACTTTCCTTGGCTCGAATCGCTTATTTACCCTGATGTAAACTGTAAGGAACCCAAAGTTGAGAGTGTCAAGCTGGCAGAAAGGCAGAAAGCGGTGTTTCAGAGCGTGTCGGCACAGCGTTTTGCACGCAGAGGTGGGCTGGTTTTGCCCAGCTCTCCGTGAGCCGAAGGCTCGTGGATGGAGCTGGTGCCGTGCTGCCTGTCCCTGCCAGGGGCTGTGGCCACCCCCCCCATCCTGCTCAGGGAAGGCAGAGCAAGCTCCTGGCAGCCCTGAGCTGTAGCTGGACCCCAGAGCCTTGTCACAGCATCTGCCTGCTGCAGATAATTGCAGCTACAGCGCCCAATGGGCATTTGTACCCAGTTGTCCTTTAGGAGCGAGCTGTCTGCTCCTCCTCATCCTTCTGGGGGTGTTTTCTCCTCTCTCGTATCTCTTCCGCAGATGCTGTTCTTCCTTAGTTAAGGTTGGTGGTGGTGGTCAGCAGAGCAGTGTGTTTGCAACGGCTGAGGAGGCAAAGCACATTCTCCCCTTCCCAAACCGCACGGAGACCCGCGCCGCCCATGGCGTGACCTCACCGCATCCTTCTGACTCTTGCAGAATTCGCTGTTTCACTGGTGGAGAAGATGCAGGCTCAGGAAATCCTGCGGAGCCTGCGGCTCCCCGAGTTTGACGACCTCAGCCAATTTTTCCGCAACCTGCCGGCCACCGCGCTGGTGGGCATCGGTGCCTTCGCGGCCGTCGTTGCCTACTGGTTTGCCAGCCGGCCCAGGGCCGTGAAGCCGCCCTGCGACCTGCGGATGCAGTCGGAGGAAGTCGAGGTGAGGCCGGGGTTCACCTCGGGTTTGCGTGCCTGGAAACGACCGCAGGGGATGTCAGGAGATGCTTATGTTTACTTTGAGGGCTCCCCAACCCCATCCTGACCCCATCAGTCATGTAATGCGCTATGCCAGGGATCACTTCACTCCTTAATTCACCTTTTTCTTTAAACTGGAAAGCTAGAATACAGCCCATTAATTTATTCTCTTAGATTTTCAGTAACATTTTGGTCTTAGCTTTGCTTAACCACCCATGGCCAAAAATTACGGGAGCTGCCCTTGCATGGGAGAAACCACTGAAAGGCAACAGCCGGTATGATCAAATCAGCTGGTACTTCTTATGTGCACCCATTACTGAGTTTTGCCGCTGCAAACTTTGTAATGATAAGAAAAAGTAGATCTGAATCCATGCTTAGAGGCTGAGGAGTTATTAATCTTCATGCTTGCAAAAGGTTTTAAAGTTTAATGAAGCTGGTCCATTTAAAAGAGCAGAAATATTTCTGAAAATTGTTTCCACTTAAATGAATGTCTGAAAGTGTGATGAGAATTTTTAAAGCCTTTTGCGATGTCCTCTCTAAGATGTGGTTGTCTTTAATTCCAACAGCTTTTTAAGAGGGTGGGAGGAATTTACATTTCCCCAGCCAATTTTCCCATGTGGTTAGGGCTTTAACCTAACAAAAAAATTAAAAACTATAATTAAAAAATTTTCTGGTTCACAGTGTGCTCCTGGTTCGGTCACTCTCGCCCTGCCTACCTCCCCTTGCCCACTCCTAAAACATCCCTAGTGAACCCACACACTGGGGTCTCTGCTTTAGTCTGTCCTTCGTGTTGGTCTAGACGTCCTTGAGAAGGTGCCCGTTCTGGGGAGCTGTGGAGCCCAGAGCAGTCGCTCCGCCCAGCACATCCCCATTCCATTTCTTACAGATTTCACTCCTCAAATTTCCTTGGGAAATATCAACCATCTCAGGTGGCAATGAGCCGGGACAAATGCTCCCCTCTGGGCAGGTGGTTCTCCATGTTATTGGGGTGCTGAGGTGGACGTCCCACCTCTCCTCTCCCTTTGGGTGTTGGGGCAGGAACATGGCTGCAAAGGTCCCTCCAGCATTTGGGGAGTGTGCTGTTTTATGGTTTGGGGTTTCCCCACATCTTGCTGGTCTGGCGGTGCTGATGGTTGTGTCACATCGTGTCACGTCATGTCACGCAGGGCCTGGCCGGGGCACGCCGGTCGGTGATCGGAGACAGCTCGCAACTGCTGACGCACTACTATGATGATGCCAGGACCATGTACGAGGTCTTCAGGAGGGGATTCAGCATCTCCGGTGAGAGCATGGTGATGGGGAAGCCTGGGAGCAGAAGTGGGGAGAGGTGGAGGACCAGACGATGTGGAGACTTAAAGGCTTAGGGAAGCTCAGAGCATGTAGAGGTTTAAAGAGTATGGGAGCCCATGAGAGAGTGGGAGGCTCAAATGGTGTAGAGACCCATTTGGACTCAAAGTCCAAAGGAGCGTGGAAGGTCCGAAAAAGAGTGGGAGGCCACCAGAATATGGGAAGCAACAAAATTGTAGAAGCTAGGAGAGCGAGAGGCTGAAAGAATGGGGGAGGCACGAACTGTGGAAAGGCTGGGCTGAAATGGTGCAGGAGGCACAAAGAGTGTAGAAGCGAAGAAACTGTAGGAAGTTGAAGGAGATACAATTGCTGAAGGAGAGAGGGTGGCTGAACGAGTATGGAAGGCCAAAAAAGTGCAGAGGTCCAGAGAGCGTAGAGTCTAAGAGAGTGTGGGAGGCCCCAAAACTATAGAGGGCTATTACATGTGGAAGGCCAAAAGACTTTAGAGACCAAGAAGAGTGGGAGAACCCACAAGTGTTGAGGTCCGAAGGGTGTGAAGGCCCAACAACTTTAGAGGTCAGAAAGGTATAAGAGGCCAAATAAGTGTTGAGGCCGATAAAGGTGTGGAAGCTAATGGCTGATATTTGGAATTTGAAAAAGGTTTGGGAGGCTAATGAGGTGTAGAGGCTGAAAAATGTGTTGGAGGCCAATGAGGTGGAGATGTCAAAGAGGTGTGGGAGGCTGATAACGAGGTGTGGGAGGCCAACAAAGTGTATGGGAAGCCCACTGAGTGTTTAAAGGCTCAAGGAGTGTAGAGTCTCCAAACTTGTAGGAGGGCCAAGGGCTGTAGAGGCCCAGAAAGCGTGAGACTGAAGAGGTATGAGAGGTCAAAAGAGTGTATGAGGCCAAAATCTTGTGGGAGGCTGAAGAAGTGAAGACATCCAAAAAGTTTGGGAATCAACAAAAGCATGGAGTGTAGTGGCCCAAAGAACAAGGGTGACAAAAAGGTGTGGGAGAGAGAAAGCAATTGAGAGGACCACAGAGTGGGAGGCCCAGCAAGAGGACATCTCAGAGAACGGGGGGCCCAAAGAGTGGAGGCCAATGGAGTGTAAAAAAAGTGAAGGGAGATCCAGAGATGGAGGCACGAATAGAGTGGGGGGCCTGAGGGGCAGCGGCCAGGCAAGTGGGAGATGCAGAGAGCAGGAGGTCCAAGGAGTGGAGGCTGAGGAAAGAAGAGGCACAGGGAGGACATAGGTGCACTTTTGGAGCGTAGGGGTTATAATTAGGGTTATTATTTGCAACATGCATTATTTTGTCCTTAACACCATCGAATTTTACTGTGCTGTCTCTTGGTACCACGAGATCTTTTTGCTGTTGCTGGCAGACAGCTTAACATCCTGAATTTTGCAGCATCAGCAAAGCTCATCATACATTATTCATTTCCAGAACATTTTTGAATACATTAAATGGGGCTGATTCGGGCACAGAATGGTGGAACCCAACAGAACTCTTCCTCTGCTGTGAACGCTGATACTTATTTCTGCTTGTTGCTGCCTTTCCATCAGCTACTCATTCAGCTCAACTTTTATCGCACAGCAGGGCAGGATAAGGGACTCTTCCAAAAGCTCTTAGGAAAGCTGTGTGGTGTCTCAGTCTATCACCTCTACCCGTTATCGGTGATACCATCAAAGAGCTCCCACACACTTTTGAGACATCATTTCCTGCTCCAAAAAGCCATGATGGCCCTGCTCTACCACAAATATTTCTGTGTCCACTGCTTATGCTGTCCTGCCTCACTGAACACAACAATTTAATTGTCCAATTATTATTTTCAGTACCACCAAAAGTCCCAATGGAATTGCAAATATTCCACCCTGCAGGACAGGGATAAATAAATAACTCAGTAGGTATGGAGGGATTGATCTTGTGCAGGTAAGTACAGTTAGCAAATTAATTAAACTTTTCAAACATTGCTCCTGTCATGTTGTGCTGTGTATTGTTTTACCCTCCTCCAGAGTAGGCTGTGCTAAAAATAGCGGTTTTCACTTTGAAGTGTTTAAATCAAAAGGCAGCGAAAAACTGTCATCAGACACTAACGCTCCCACTACCTTCAGAGAAATGTCTTTTAATGAGGCTGCTTGGGGGCAAACTGCTGCTGTCCCCTTTGCAGGGAGGAGGATTGAAGTGACTGTTTGGGAGATGCCGGCAGCTGGTCTCCTGTTATCTGCACTTCTATGTTTAATTTGATCGAGCTGGCTGTGAGCTCTGCCCCAGGAGCAGGAGCCAACCCCAGTAACACCAGATTTATTCTTTGGGGGGCTCTGCTGCATCCCCCAGCACGTTAACTCCTGGCACTGCCCCAGTAACTCTGTCCTCTCTGCTTGTGTCTTCCAGAAAACAGCCCCTGCCTGGGGTTCAGGAAGCCCAAGCAGCCCTACCAGTGGCTGTCCTACAAGGAGGTGAGCTGGAAATGACACCCCCGCAGAGTCCTCTCCCCGCTGCCCGGCAGAAGAAGGGGTGTTAAGGGGGTAACATGCACACACTAGACCGGGAGGTTGCTAATGTGCTGTGCGAGGGCTCGGGTTCCCCAGCCGGGCACGTCCCGGCGTTATATAGGTGTGTTGGCTTTTGGGGACCAGCTCAATGCCATTAGCCCACCCCTGACAATGGCATTGACACGCTCAAAGCCACAGGCATTGCCAACCAGAGGTCAACTGCTAGTCAACTACTGATGGCTCATGATAACATAAAAGGTTGGGCTTTTAGATAACAAATATAATTTGAGAGCCTCCCTGTATAAGCTAAGTCTTCGCTTAGTTTGATATTGATTCGAATCCCCTTTTTTATGTATTTTTTTTCCCTGCAAATTCCAGGTGGCTGAAAGAGCAGAAGCTCTGGGTTCAGGCCTTCTTCAGCAGGGCTGCAAGCCATCCACAAAGCAGTTCATTGGTGTCTTTGCTCAAAACCGTCCAGAGGTGAGATTTTAAGTTCAACTTGATGGTGTATTAATAATGCTCCTGACGTGTGAGCTTGCTTTATACCTGAAGCCTGTCCTCAAGTGTGTTAAATCTGCTTCTCTTCTCACCTTCATGCTTCCATGTCCTCCTGCAGTGGATCATTTCTGAGCTGGCTTGCTACACCTACTCCATGGTGGTGGTTCCCCTCTATGACACTTTAGGTCCTGGAGCCATTCGTTACATCGTCAACACAGGTAAAACCAAAATTGATGCAATTTTCTCAGAAACCAGTTTTGTTGCTCAGAATGGTTTGTTTCCTTCTGCTTTCCAAAAGATGGGTGATTTTTACTCACTGAGTGTCTTGAAGTCACTTTGAGAGGTTTCTGGGGAGCTGCGTGTCCCCGCGCTGGGTCAGGGCTGCATCTGCTGCATTTCCCACGTGCTCGGTTGTGCACAGCCGTGGATGGGGCTGCTCTGCCTGTGGGTATTACTCCACAGCCACCCACTCCTGTGTTGCTTCGTATTTTGCCTCCTAGATTTTTTAGCCCACATGGTGAGCAATTTTAGTATTTTGAACTGAATCCCAGAATAATTGTAGATGTCGGCTACAGCTTCGGCATTGATTTAGGTTAGCTAAAACTGCAGTAATTTTCTAAGAGAAATATATGTTATATTCTAGGATTTCTGATGTTAGTCTGAAATGAGTATCAGAATTGATACAATGGTAGGTATCAGCCAGTAGCCAGTCTTGCATTAAAAAAGATTTAATGTAAACAGCTCATTTAGCTGCTTTTCTTCCAGCTGACATTTCCACAGTCATTTGTGACAAACCTGAAAAAGCCAGAATACTCCTCGACCACGTGGAGAGGAGAGAAACGCCAGGTCTGAGCTCCATCATCCTGATGGACCCGTTTGAGAAGGAGCTGACAGAGAGAGGGAGGCACTGTGGAGTTCGCATCCAGACCATGCAGGAGGTGGAGGTAAGTTTGCTCTCCGTCTCCTTTTACTCTGTTTTGTAGTTTCTGTAAAAAGATGGTAAAATATACAGGGACTTGTAAACTGCAGGGCAGGTTCAGTGTCTGGAGAGCACAAAAGAACAGCTTGTGGCTGATAATACTGATGCTCGGTGCAGTTGCCTCAGTGTTATTCCTTGTTGATAGGAGAGCCAACATTTTAAACTTATCTGCTCAAATAAAATATCAGTTGCTACTTAAGCCTGGGAAGAGGGGGAGTTGCTATTCGAGACGCTGTCCTCCTACATGTAAGCCTACAGCCTTACACTTTTATGAAACAGCCTGGATCCAGCTCAACCAACCCAAGCACTGCCTGAAATCTGAGGATGGCTTTGCAGTTAATGCAAGAAACTTTGGATAGAAAAGATGACCTAAGTGTTAGCCACAAATTTTTCGGCTCTAGCTCAAACTCTCCCTTAGTGGTTTGCAGATTATTAGCAAGTGGGTTACACCTCAGGAATTCAAGCGGAAATAATTTTTGTTATTTTAATCTATTTCAGGACTGCGGCCGTGAGAGTCGACATGTGCCTGTGGTGAGTGACCTGCACTGAGATAGCTCATCCTTGCTGAATGTGTTAATGGGACAGTAATTAAAAGCCATTGTTAAGCCACATTAATTCCAGGCGGCACCAGGGGATGTGTTTGCACCCTTGGCTTTCCAGTGGGGTTTCTAGAGCTCAGAAGCAGAACTTGGCAGTATTTCTCTGGGATATTTTTGGAAAAGTGCATTGACGTTTTTCACTGGCTGCTCATATTCATGCAAAACTTTCAAAAGCAGCCTCTGATTTTCAGGCTGCTTATTTATTCATTCATGACCCAAAATAGCACACACATGCAGTGATGCTGAGAATACAGAGGTACTACTGGAAATGGGAGCAACCAGAAGCTTTGGAAAGTTGTTCCCTGTTGTGGATAACCACACGTTTCCAGGATTTATCTGGAAATCAGTAAATTATCTCAAGTTTTCCCACACATCTACAGGTATCAATGGTGTCTTTGAAAATACTGACTGCCAGACAAATATTCTATCAAAGTCTTCTTACACTGAAGCATGCCCTTGATGCAGCTGGACCAAAACATAAAAGAGAAATAGAGTCTGCATCAACCAAAGAAACCTGATAAAAAGAGTTTTATGATGGTCTTTTATATTTGTCAAGGGGAATGAAAGCTTTTTATGGCAGAGCTTAAATACAGTTGGTTTGATCTTTTAAGTTTATACAGTGACAACAGTCTACCATTGGCCCTTCTGCATTTGATTGATGTAATTTTCTTACTCTCCTTGTGTATTTCTAGCCTCCCCGACCAGAAGATCTATCAATTGTCTGTTTTACTAGCGGCACTACAGGTAAAAGAAGAGGCATCTTCATCTCAAAATATTAGAATATATTACCAAATTAATGATTAATACAACCTTAATATGTGCAAACTTGCTGTTAGACTGATATGGTAATATTTCTATGCATTTTTAATATTTAAGAATATATATTTAAGAATATATGTAGATTGCAAATTTAAAAATAATTATATATTGATTTTTCACCTGAATTCCCTGACATGCACTTTGGCAGTACGATTTTCTAGTTGTCTGGAAATCTGCCCATGTTTCTGCTTCCCATTTTGCAGTGTAGTTGTGAAGCGTTTGGTTGATTTATATTTATCTTCTGCAAATGTTTAAAAACCCAAAAAATGTGGGTCCACAGGTTTCCATTCTCTGTATCCTAAGCACACCAGTGTCCCCAGCCCCACCAATGTCCTGCTGGGGTGGGCTCGGGGACGAGCCTGGGCAGCCCACACTGCTGGTACTCGCATACCACTGGCTCCTTTTTCTCGGAAAGAAGCAGCATCATTTTCCTGCATCTGCTTAGCAGACGCAGTGCTTTCTCCTCTCTCCAGACCCTGGTTTTCATACAGCGTGCAGAAATTTCCTACTCTTGAGAACTCACCCTCTGTAACATCTCCCAGAAAGCTGTACAGGCAGTGCTTGTACGAGGCGTGCTTGCTTGGGACACTGCTTTTATACTTCCCTGCAGGGAGGGCCATGCTCCAGGGACTGCTGGAGCAGCTCTTCCAGGTTCACCTGTGCTCTCAGGATTGCCTAACGCTTGGTCCTCCCCCAAAGCATCCTCGATTTGGCCTCTGATCCTTTAGGCAAGCAGAAGATGCCACTTGACAGCAAGCTGCCCTCCAAGAAGGGAGTTGCTTGTGCTGCTCAGCCTGCAGAGCGCAAAGCCTGCAGATGAGGCCGAGCAAGAGGGGACGTCTTCGTCTTCCACCTTCTGGAGAAGACTTGTACTGCACATCAGGTAGGCAACTGCTTTATCAACTCCCAAGCAAAAACTCGAAATGTATTACAAGGCTTTGTTTTGTTCTGTTTTTTTACCTTCATGCATCCTTCTGAGTTTTGAGGTCAGTGCACTTCAGAGTACCCCAGGCAGTGCACTGTGAGAAAGGAGCCCGTGACTCTGTCTCAGCTGTGGGAATTCCTAAAAGGAAAAGATTGGAGCTAGTGCAGGATGTGGACATCACGGCCATGTGAGCTGTGAGCACCGGCTGTGCCAGTAAAAAGTGGCCGGACACAAATGGGAATTAAAGGAAGCCAAAGGAGCCATGCCTACAGAGAGAGTGGGGCACAAATTGTTTGTGTGGATTTTAAAGTCCAGAGCAATTATTTTTTTCAAGTCACATTTTTGTTTCTAAATAAGAATTTCTGAATAGAGAAAGGTTTTGTGATTTTCTTTTTTTACTTGCAAATGCAATCATGGGCCTGTTTCTGACTTGGTGATTTTCTTAGGAACATGTCTGAAGTTACAGAAATAGGACAACAAGGGAGCTCATTTGCTTTCTCCCATCAGAATCACAGATTTCAAATTCTGCAAATCATCTGCAAACTAAACTCTTGCATAGCAGTGCTTTGTGAGCCACCAGCCCATCCTTTGCTGCTGGAGGACTTTGCACATCACTTTCTGGCTTTTCCAGGGATTGCATCAACACTCTGCTCTGTTGTCCATGTTGTGTTTTGATGTAAAAGGCCTGGATTTTTGTATACCCCATGTCAGGATATTTCAATGACCAGATTTAGAATTTTCTTCCACTGGTTATGTTCTCAAAGTCTTTTTCAATTCTGAAGGGCTCTAAATATTTTTGTACAGTGTGAAACAAATCTTAGCTATAAAGTTTGTGAGCTGGAAATTGTAGAATTGGAAAAAATGTTAACTGTTTTTATAAAATAAACCCAGAAGCAGACTTTAATGGGTGTTATTCTTTGATAGGATCAGATGTCCAAATGCCTTCGCATGAAGAAGGGAAGAGGCTGAGGCTGCTGAGATCAGAAGACAAGACCAACTTTCATTGTTGTACGAAGAAATCATCCGCATTCAGAAATGGTCCAAAGGCACACAGACGTCCCCAAACCATCAGGATATAATTTTTCGTAGTGGCTAATTCAGAGAAGTAAACTGTCATGTCCTCAAGGATCTACCTGTAACCATTTGGATAAAAATTGCTTCCCAACAGTTTCTCACAGCCTGTCCCTGACTGCCAGAAGCTCCCAGGGGAAGGAAAGTGTTTACATCCCAACATGCTGACAGATCACAACACTGAGTTCGTGCTGGAGCTGCTATTTGAAAGACCCATTTAGCAACGTGGAAAAGGTTCTTCTGCTGCTTGTGAGAACTGGCAAACCAGCCTGGCACCGAGATAAGGAGAAATTGCCATACCCAGGCTCTTAACTGGCCGGGATTGCAGTGCAACCATTTCTGTAACAGGACGCTCACAAGGTGGAGCTTTATGAGAAATTCAAACTTGAGAGCACTGTTACAGATCTGGCATTGTTTTTTATTTTTTTTAAAAGAAAAGCGGTATCACTACCAACCTTTTTCTCTCAAAGTGGTAATTGTGGGAAAGAGCTTGTAGCAAAGGGCACCTGTTCTGCTGGGTTAACTCTTAGAACTGCTAAAGAAGGTCAAACTTTACAGCAGTCCCCCAGCCTAAAAAGCTGCAGCTCCCTCATGGCAGCAAGGTTTGTTCTGGATTTCTCCTGCTGAAGCTATCCAACACTGCTCTGCTTTGCCATCAACACCACAGCCTGTCCGGGATGCTGAACCTGCCGCGGGCAGGACGTGGGGCAGGAGCCAGGACGTTCCCCCTGCTTCCAGGTGTGTCGTGGTGATTTGAGCAGAGGTACTCAATTTGAATTAAAGTCCAAGGTGGAGTAGAGTAAATGAGTCTGAGGTCTCAAAGCATCTGAGAAAGCTTCCCAAAAAAATGAAAAAAAAAAAAATCTGAAAGGCTGTGTTAAAGTCCAGGAGCCAGATCTGCTGTTGGTATAGCTGGAGGACGCAGTTCTGAATTTCCAAACCAGAACTAAGTACGGGTTGCCGACGCAGAGAAACTTGTGCGACGCTGCAGGAGTACAGCTACTTGTAGAATTGCAGGGGCTGAGGAAGCATATTTGGCCAGACATGACTAAAATAACACAAGCAATTGCTGGGGCGTTGGCATGCGTTTAAAACCAATGTAGTTTCGTGGAGTTTTCTTGAGGTCTGGATCCACATGTGGACCCAGCTGTGAAAATAAGGACCTCGAAACAAAGCCTGCCTGAGCTGGTGCCCACAAGCCTGACTGTACAACACGACAGGACAGGAGCGGTTGTGGTTGGTGAAGATGTCAGCCCTAGCTTCACCTCGGAGCTTTGGATGAGGATGAGCACGAGGGAGACCAAAATACCCTCCTGTGTTCATCTGCAAGCATTTGGGACTGAATTACTCAAAGGCACTTGGAACGCCAAATATGTATTTTCCATAAAACACGTTGTGTTCAAAATGCCCCGCTTTAGTGCAATAAATGCGTGCAATAATTACAAGTTTTGTGGGGGCCTTTATTTGGTTATTTGGGAGGCTGAGTAGAAGCTGTGGCAGTGGAGCTGGCGGGGCACAGGGCTCAGCACCGTGGGTGCGTGCCCGTGCCGAAGGGCTGCCAGCCACACGGCCTGCAAACTGCTCTGAAACCGAGAGGATTAAGTTAATTTTCCTGTGCTGAAACTGATTCACCAAACAGCTTTGCCCCGTCCTAATCTGATTTAAAATTTCGTGAGGCTGGTGCGTCCGTCGTTATCTGTAACAGCGTTGTGAAGGTACCGGGGGCATCCCTGTGCAGGAACCTCCTCCGATCTTCCTCCGCACGGAATATCGGGAGCTACGCTGCAGTGGCGTGATCGAATTAAAACAATCTGCTTAAAAACACGCTGGAGAGAGAGGGGCGGGCTCTGTAATCTTTATTTGAGCTGAGCAACACCTTCTTTCGGAAATAAACCCTTGGAGGCTGATGAAAAGGGACAGTGCTGGGACAGGAGGACGTGCAAAGTGCCAGCGCTGCAGGCAGGGCGTTTGGGGTGGGACCCTCGGCTCCGGTTTGTGCGCTCAGAGGTTTCGACCTGCGCGTTCACTGTTTAACAAACACCATATTTTGGCGTATGACCAAAAAAAAAAAAAAAAAAAAAAAATCCAGAAATTGTATTGCAGTGCGAAGGGGGATTCTCGGATCAGGAGGGAAAAGAGGGTGAAAAGGCAAATCCTGCTGGCGGGTGAGGTGCTGCAGGCACGGTGCCCAGCGCTGGGGTGATGCCTTGAGGCTTTGCCAGCTCCCTGTCCCTGCCTCCAGGACACTTCTGCTCTGCTCCTGACAAGAGGGATGACTTCCCTGAATTGCAGTCTCATGGGGTCTTCTTGTAGCCTAATTTTTGCCATGTATTATCTGTTTTCTGCTTCGTTCAGGTTATCCAGTGCGCTGGCTAAGTAAGAGCTTAGCAGCCTTTTAAATGGGGATTGTTGGTATTCAAGATCATTCTTAGTCAACATCTGTATTAAATAAATCCAAGCCGGGAACAGCCAGCCAGTTCTGACGGCCATGCTCATCAAGGAGCTCCATCCGAGTGCTCTCATCAATTGCAGTTGGGTTGTTTCTGATGGAAGCTTGTTCAGAGTCTCCAATAGAAATATTTGTGTTTACAGGATTGTTTTATTGCATTTTGAGTATTGCTGTAACTGCTTTTGGTGCATTTTTCTGCACAGAAATGACTGTGAAAATTACAGAAGTTGTAAAATTAAAAAAAAAAGGAAAAAAAAAAAGATAACTTAATATTTTAATCATTTTCTATTTTGTTTTTTTTGGGGGGTTTTTTTTTGGTTATGTTTTTGGATATTACCTACTGGCTCATCTCTTAAAATTACTCTTTGTTTTCTTTCAGGAAACCCCAAAGGTGCTATGCTGACTCATGGGAACGTGGTTGCTGATTTTTCAGGCTTTTTGAAAGTGACGGAGGTGAATACCCTGGTCTAGAAAATGTTGCCACGTGCAAAGTGTGTGGGTTAAGCTGTGTCCCTGCACGGGCTGGAAATGTGCTCTTGCAGATAAGAGGTGCAATTTCTCTTACTCAGAGGGCCAAATCTGTGAAAATGGGAGCGGTCTGAGCTTACAGCACTGGAGGGCATTAAATCCCCTTCCCAGCACTGGCTCCCTGACTCTGTAGGGCACAAAGTGCTTCTGAGGAGCAATGCTGGCTCCTGTAAATCAATTAACTAACTCCATTTAAAGAATCAGGAGAGCAAACGAGCCCTGTACAGTTGCAACTGGGGCTTGAAAAAGAGTACAGGGTCCACTTGCGCTCTTTGTGTCCCCTTGTGCCTACGCAGTGGGCTCATTTCTTTGAAAGCTCTCTGCATATAAAGTGTGTGTACGTATATAAGAACATATATGGTTTTTACAAGAACGGTTAATTTCATTGATGTTAAAGTATGTCTCAGTTTCTGTTATACATATTTTTAAAAAGGCTGGCCAAGTACCCACACAATATGTTTCAGGCAGTATATAAACCTGTGTTTAGAAACAATATAGGAAGCGGAATTGCTTTAGCACAACATATTAAGGATTTTCTACAGCTTGTACTTAACAAATACAAAAAATTGGTCTTTTTTTTTTTTTTTTTTTTGTAGTAAACAGGCAATTCTATAAGCTAGTGATGTATACATGGGATGGACAGTTTGTCACCTTATACCCCTTGCTGGTTTTATCATCGGTGCTGAAAATACTGGAGTCTCAGTATCATAATCCTTGAACTTTCTGAGATTCCCAGACCGCTGTTGTAAAGAAACTTGGACACGTGATGTGAGAAACCCCACTGACCTCGTGTGTTCAAGTATTTGCAGGGTTGTGGCTCCAGTAATCTCCAGTATGAAATGCCAGTACGGCATGTTGCTGCAGCCAGCCCTCGGGCTTGGCAGCGTGGAGCTTTCGCTGGGCTCAGGGGCAGCGAGATGCACAGATGAAACCTGATGTGTAGATGAGTCTTCAAAGGGCAGGAGTGTTTATTTTGGAAGAGAACTAATTTAGAGGGAGCCGAGGGAACTTGGCATCTTCCAGGACTGGCCCGCAGAAATGGATTTAGTGTTCGCTGATGGTAGTGGGACTCTCTGATTGATCTGGAAGGTATCAGATTGAAATGCAAATCTGGTGTAAGTGGCTGTAAATTCGATAGCTTCAGTCACCAGAGAACTGTTGGTGAGAGTGTAAATGCCCGTAGCCGATCCAGACGATCAGGGCAATGTCTAGCCACAGTAATGAAATCAAGCAAAGTGCAAAATACTTGAAAGTAATATAAATTAATAAAATAAAAATACCTAAAGCTAAGAAGTACTGTAGATTTGCTGTTTATACACTCTTGTGCCAGTTTTGCTTAGTTCAGTGATTTTTATAAATGAACATTTTTTGAAGTGAACCTAGCACTTTATTATAAGGTTGTTCTCAAATGCCAAGAAGCTGTTTTCATTTTTACATTTAACTGGACAGCTGTGCCAACTGTGAAATACTATTCAATGTCATCATTTTGGTCTGATTTAAAAGCAAATCGTTTATTTTCTAAGCACTTAAAGCAGTATAAAAAAAAAAAAAAAGCAGCATAGTTAGTGATGCTAATGGTTTTACATTACTGTGCTTGCAGAAAATGACGCCAATTTGAAATAATGTATAAATAGATCTGCAGGCCCTAATGGCTTAATTCAGACTGACACATAAAACAATATGAAACTGGATGCTGAAAACACCCACGTGGTCAATCGTGTTTGACTTCACTAGGTAATGGTTGGGAGGGCATACCTAAATCTGACTTGCCCAGATTTAACATCAATAAAATATTCCCTGAGGAAGAAAGTCGTGTGCCTCCATCCACCGCCGTGTCCCAGATCACGGACTATCGATTCTGTCACAGCAGTGGAGATGCAAAGTGGGTGTAAACTGCTAATACTGTGAGCTAATAGATTTTATACCCATTTTCCACTAACCACTGGCCTTGGTGCAAGTTATTGGGTAATCGTGCTTTCAGTTTTTCTAATCCATAATATTATGGCAAGCCTTACCCTTGGAAATGCAGGTAGAAAGGCTACTTTTCTTTTGGGGCGTGGAACAAGTAAGGCACTTGGGGCCTTTGTTTATTCCAGCCTGCAAGACAGAGTTAAAACCTTGGCAAACTGAAGACTTTGGTCATTTTTATTTTTTTCATAATTTGTCCAGTCTTCTCTTTCGCCACTGCACCTGTCTGTGGGGCAGTGTTAATGCACTTAAAATCACATTTTAATCCCTTAAAATGATGAGAGACACTAACAGAAATTATTAATTTTTGCAGCTGAAAAAAATCATTAATTTCTCCAACATATTCTGTCTCAAATCAATGATTAACCTAAGGAAAAGAAAAAAATCTATAGCTCTGACTCTCACTGTGAATCATTGATGGGCTCTGTGCAGTATGGAAAAATGATGTGTCTGTAGAGCCCCGCGGATTTCCAGGAGGCTCCTGTGGGTTTGCGGCGGGATCCTGCGGTCCTGCACACCGCCGAGAGTGCAAACCATGGTCTCAGCACCTCGTTGTAGAAAGCAGAGAATAAAACTCGGGTTCTTTGTCAGGGTGAGCCCCCGTTTCCAGCGTGAGCTGTGCGGTTACGATATGCCTTCTGCCATGGAGAGACCTCTCCATTGCCCTCTGTGTACATCTCCCTGCTCTTTACTCCTCCTGCTAACTGAGCTTCATTGACGCTGTGGCTTAACGCTTCACTTCGTACGCTGCTCCCCTCCTCTCTTGACAATCTTTCCCCTTTTGCTCCTCTGGTGCCATTTTTCTTTTTATTGTTTTATGACTTTCTTGTTGTCTTCCTGTCAGTGTTTCTTTCCTTTCTGTCTCCCATGCCCTTCACCTGCAGAAAGTGATCTTTCCGAGACAGGACGATGTGCTCATCTCCTTCCTGCCTCTGGCTCACATGTTTGAAAGAGTTATCCAGGTAAGAAACCTGCCTGAACTGACGAGGCCTCGTGGGGCCCCTTGTGTTTTCTTCCAGAGTCAGTGGTCTCCTACTTGTGAGGATGTACACATTTCCTATTTGCCTTTAGCACACATGTTTGAGAGAATGGTACAGGTAAGGTCCTAGTGTCAGTGGAAAGCATCTTTTTCCACGCCAAACAAACAAACAAACAAAATAAATAAAATACTAAATAACCAGCGATATCTTGTAGCACTAAAAAAGCTTGTACTCCAGAAGCGCCACGTGCATGACACCAGGGCCCGGCCCCTGGCCCCGGTGACATGGCCCCGAGTCCAGAGCCATTCCAGGAGAGTTTCCCAAGCTCTCCAGCTTACACCAGTGGCTCTGAGATTGGAAAGCAGCCCTTCGTCCACGCGCAGAAACTGCTACCTGCACGAATTTGTGGGCAGCTTTTCAAAGCACTCTAGGATCAGGTATCATGGGAGCAAAAAGAAATTCATGCCGTTTTCTACATCAGCTAAAAATCCCTTTTTATTGCATAAATTAACCAGGTCTGCAAAAAACTTGCAGAGGCTGAAAAAGAGGAAACTAAGATCATGGTGTGACACATGTGATCCTGCTGGCAGGGCAGTGTATGGCAGGCATTAACTGGAAGCCAGCGGCCCCTGGAAATAATGGCAGATAAAGGTGCTAACTCGTGCCAGCCCACAGAATTGACTTTTCCCACCTTTCTCTGAAAAGGCAGGTGCTCGGCTGGGCTGCAGCCACTGTGCATGGCATCAGCTGAGCTCATCCCATCAATTCTCCTGGCCCGAGAAGCTGCCAACCAAAAACTGATCCAGTATGTGAAGATTGGATCTGGATTTAGTTGCAGCTCTGTACTTTCTCAGGGAGGACTGTTTTGGGCTGAAAGCATACTTTTTGAGTCAGACAAGCCCCCTTCTTCTTAGTAGCATCTGTGCCAGAAATAATATATTCTGCCCTGCTAAAAAACTTGCAGATTGGAAGTGAAAGTCCATGAAAGATTTGGAGAATTACAGCACAGCCTTTCTTCAGATGTAAGGCAAGTTGGTCAGTATGCCACCACTATTCAGGCAAACTGCTTTCCCAGCAAGTGAGAATATAATTATTAAAAAGTCATCTGATGGGGGGAAAAAATACTAGAAGCATTTGAAATAACCTCATTTCACATCATGTTGCCATTTTGAAAGGGGCAGGCCTCCAAACAATGTTCAGGTTTATCCTCCCTGCTAAAAAAAAAAACCTCAATAATATAAAGCTTTTTTTCAGAAGGGCTAAAAAGTCATTTTCAAAAGCGTTCTGAACAGCAAGCACTGTGTCAACTTCCCTAGTTTTAGCCAACATTATTAGTTCTTGGAATTTGCAGTTAAAACTATACAGGTACATTTTTAAAGCTAAAAGTTTCTAGTAGATACTTATAATTCCCAATGTCCCAATGAGCACACTGATTATATTTTGATTATTTTTTTTTTTCTTTTTTAATTCATGTGCACGTGCAGTGTAAAACACAAATTTGGCAGTGTGATGCTCGTTAAACCCACATCACATGTATAAAATTCCCGTGGTTTCAGCTGATGGAGAGACGGTTGACAGAGCAGTGGGAGCTCTCCGGTTAGCGTCACAGATTTTCAGGAGTAGCACAAAAAGACTTCGGTGTCTCTTAAGGAGTTTTAAACTGGTTTAGTTCTTTGGGGGAGACAAGTCCCCCGAAGGGAGCTGATGTTGTCAGCGCTGCCCCTGCAGAGCTCGGGAAGGCTGGGCTCCGCTCGCGGCACCGCGGGCGCTTCGCTGCAGATGCCTTCTCCCGCTTGCGCTCTGAGGGCAGGGTAGCGATGCTGGTCTCCAGATGCTCTCCAGCCATCGAAAGCCCATTTAACCACGTCAGTGGCTCGTCCTCCGTGGGGTCACGGACTCCCAGAGCCACTGCTTCAGCTGCCTGTCGGCTCATCGCAGGCGCCCGCCCTGCCCCGTCCCGCACAGCCAGCTCTATTCCGACCCGATCAAAGCGGCCTGTTTTCTCTCCCAAGTACAAAACTTCTGGATCTGTAGCTTCCATGCAAGAAGAGCACCTTTTATGAAGTGGGCTTCTATTTCTGGGATACAGGATCAGGCACTGTATTGCTAACGTAGTCTATGTTGTTGTATTTAAACAAAACTAAAGTATTAACACCTAAAAACCGGCTGCCGCTCAGTACGTTTTACGTTTCTTAATATTCATTTCTTTATTGACAGTAGGTGCTCGTGCTTTGAGCTGCTATGGTAGGTCTGGGCTTCAGAGGAGAAGTTCAGATCCAGAATCTGACTGTAACTCGGACTTCTCCATCCCCGAACACAGGGGATGAAGGGAAATCCCTTCTAAAAGCTTTGGTTCCTTGTTTTTCTAGAAACAGTGGCAAACTTGGTGGATGCTGAATTGCCAGTTCTGACAAGTGCCCAGAACTATCTGTATACTTCTGTTCAGTGCAAAATTTATAGTTACTTTTACACATATTTCTAAAGCCCCATTTTTGCCTACTTCAGTAGAATTTTAGGAAAGGCACTTCAGTGCTTGGGAGGGATGCTTTGCCATGGGAATTAAAAGCAAAGAGGTTACACGTGTTCCTTTTTCTTCCCATCAGTCTGTAGTATACTGCCATGGAGGGCGAATTGGGTTCTTTCAAGGAGATATTCGTCTCTTATCCGATGATATGAAAGCATTGCGTCCAACCATCTTCCCTGTCGTGCCACGGCTGTTAAACAGAATGTATGATAAGGTGAGTATAATTTTGCTCTTTTTTTAATAATAAAGTTTATGTCCCTTTAGGACTTATGTGAAAGAGTTCCCTTGGTCATGGAGATTTCCTGAGCATATTATACTGTTTCTGCCCTACTGCAAAGACATTCTTACCCTGGGTAACTGATACAGCTGTTCCAAATTCTACATCTGTATTATGTTGATTTACATGGACTGCAGATGTGGCTAGTGCATGTTAATATGAAACCCCTATGTATAAATCTCTTACCCTGTTCTCACTGAGGTTATTAGTGACATTTCCAGAGATAAGGGATTTTTTCATCACAGAAACACCAGTCAAAGCTGGTAACGCCAGGAGTTTTTGTGCCCTTCAACCAGTTTTGGAACTGGAATCGCTCTTTCTGGTGGCAATGACAGCTGAAAATCAGGAACTGCAAAAAGACTGTGAGGATTTAGGCAGTGTAAATGTGAGGTTGGCTTTTGGATCTAGAAATCTATAAAACTAAGAGGTGGTCTTGAAAGGTATTTAAGGTAGGCATCTCTGGTCAGCATGTTAAATCCCTTTGACCAGCTGGGAACATTTATTCCTCAGAAGACTTATCCTCTAAAGAAGAGCTTAAGCACAAGCTACTGATTCAATTTTTCCCCAAGGTCAGGACTGCTGGATCAGGGCTTCTGGTGCCTCGTTAGAGGGATGGGCACTGGGGGTTTCTTGTTTGTGGAGATGTAGTTCATGCTGGTGTCTGATTAAGCTTAGGTAAACGCAGCCCCCATCACCTCATCAGCCAGCGCTGATACCTGCCTTAGTATTCAAGTTGCTCATTCCTAGTTGCTCAGATAGCGTGATTTCACTGAATCCTATCATGAAAATCATATAGAAATAGCAGTCATGTAAATCTAGTCAAAGCCTACCCCATCATCCCCTCTGTTTTTTTTCCCAAGGGAACAGCAAGTACAATAGCGAATGGAGTGAAACAAACCACTCTTTTTTTTTTTTTTTTTTTTTTTCTTTAACCCCCAAACAAAGCCTTAGTGTAGTTGTATTTAACTGTACTGCTAATGTAACTATACCCTACCTGGCACGGGTCGAACTTTGTGGCTGTAATTGTAAGAACAGCTTTTGATGTTTTCTCTCTCTCGGGTGCCGCGCTGCCTGCCGCCCCGCGCTCCTGCAGATCTTCAGCCAGGCAGACACGTCCCTCAAGCGCTGGATTCTGGAATTTGCTGCAAAACGGAAAAAGGCTGAAGTTCGAAATGGGATTATTAGAAATGATAGTTTGTGGGATAAGCTTTTCTTTAATAAAATACAGGTAAGCAATTTAAGAAGTGAGTCTAAAGTCAAAGAACTGTAATTTCTTCTGGCAATGACTGGTTTTCTGTAAAGTCAGTGAGATCTGCTTGCCTGGCAGGCAATTGCTACACATTAGTGAATAGCAGACAGAAAAATTGAATGGAAAAAGGAAATGGAGCACAGTGTGCTGTTCCATTAACTTTTGCCACATTTATTTTTATTTGTGTATTTATTTTTAAACACCATGCATAAGATGCCCAAATTTCAATTCTGTTAGGGATCGTTTTTCAGAGGGGAAGGGAGAAACACAAGGCAGACGAAGACAGCTTTTGCCATATCCCTCCTTCAGCAGCGCTGAGAAATCACCTATTTGCAGAAAAGTGCCTGTTTTTTGCAGCTCTGGGGTACAAGCTGTTCCCCTGCACGGGCACCGAGGAGGTGCAGAGTTACTTGCCCTCTGCCAGGGGACATTGCCCAGAAGCAGGACCGGACCCTCTGACACCAGAGCTGCTGTCACCTCCATCACCATTTGGGTGCTCTGCCCTGGGGGGACTGGGCACCCGCCGCGGGCTCTGCCCGTGCCCCACGGGTACCCCACCCACAGGCAGGGGTGAGGATTCCATCGAACCGACTCCTGTCTCCTGCCAGTGGGGATGAAATTCGGGAAGGTGGTCAGGAAAAGGGGAATAACTGATCAAAGAGATGTTGCTCCAAAGCCTTCTGCACATTCTCTACAGATATGATTGGATTTAGGGTTGGGTTTCAGCTGGGCATGTTCAAAACTGCTTTATTCCCTAGGAAAACAATGATAAGGGTGTAGAGAAAAATGCACGTGTAAATCATGGTTTAACAAGAAGGAAAGTAAATCAGAATGCCCTGCTTTGTGCCACACATCTCCTCAGTAAAAGATTAAATTGGCTTTAAAGCAGGCTTTTTGGGCTCAGTACCACTCCAGGAGGCTCTGATTACTTCATTTTTTAAATTGGGTAACTTATCTGGAGACATGCCACTTTATTTTTAACTAAAGAAACTGACTGTACTTTTCATCTGCGGATTAGTTGTCCTCAGTGTGCAAAGATAGCCGAGTTCACACGATGCTGACAGGAGCGCAGGCATGAGGCAAGCCAGGCTGCATAGTGATTTGGGATCTGGTGAGACTGGCAGACTCAATCAAGAGTTGTTCTCTTTTGTGCTGGGTTTTCTTTTTTGCTTTTAGAATAAGAAAAAAGGAAATGAAGTAGGGGGAGGAGGGGGAAGAAGTAAACCACGACACAGAAGTCGATGCAATACCCTCCAGAAATATTTGGAAGTCATCTGCCTTAAAAACAGGACAGCATTATTTTAGATGGCTTGGGAGCCAATTCATTAAAAATGACAAATAAACAAAGAAAACTTGGTGGGGGGGGAAAGGGTCTGGCTTTTACCAAGAGTTCCCAGAGCCAGATGTGCTTCCTGCAGGATGAGGCAGCCTGCCCGGGCGCGGGCAGCTGCAGGAGCGGGCACTCAGCAGCTCATCCTCCGAGAGACGTGGGACTCCCGCCCCTGTACACCGAAGGGATTTTTCTTGGGGCACCATTTCTACCTGCGAGGGGGACAGTTACTGCTCTTAAGATTTAGCTGGCTTTTTATCCCTAAGAGAAAGATTGAGAGCCAGTTTCTATTTCCATAGCACGGCTGCGTCTGCTCTAGAGAGGGCGTTTTGTGCCAAGCTCGTACAAGCAATACTTTGGGGCGCTGCTGGTTTTGCCACCCGTAGTCATTTGGGATGCTTTCTCTCGTTTCCCTCCTGCTGTCAAACAGGCAAGTCTCGGCGGGTGCGTTCGCATGATAGTGACGGGCGCTGCCCCCGCGTCTCCCACTGTGCTGGGCTTCCTCCGCGCCGCCCTCGGATGCCAGGTGGGCTGCTCGGGGATGTTCGGGAAAGGCGAGGGGTTAGAACCAGAGCTGCTCCACTCCCGCAGCTGTGGGGCTGGAGAGGGAATGACTGGGGGCTCTGGGAAGCGCCCATGCAAGAGCTGCCAAGGGGAAAAAAAAAAAAAAAAAAAAAAATCATAGACTCATCTCAGCACTTAATTATGTGCAATTAAATGGGCTTGTGCGTGGGCTAGGAGCTTTGTTGCACGAGGTTTATTCTATATACAAATGGAGAAAGATAATCTTCAGATGGCAATTTAACCCCCCTAAGACCTCCACTGCATTATTTCTCTTTGATGAAGAAGTCGAGGGCAACTAAAAGGCCTCATTCAAGAGCCTAAAATTAGGCAGGGGAAAAAAAAAAAAACCTAAAAGGTGTATTTTCAAAGTGTCCCACAAAAATACCTTTTTCCCCACTAATAAATTCCTCTCATAGAGTAACATACTTCTTGATTCACAAGCTAATTGTTGAACTTCTCACTACTTTCAGCTCTACAGGGCCTTGATAATTCATAGGCATGGAAATTAATTTTTATATACAGTAAGAGCCAGGAATAGTGTCCCTGTGTTAAACATGCACCCGTGCATTGCACTGGCAGGATTAGCTCCCAGGACTGTGCAGCAGAAGGCAATTTTTAGAATTTTATTCTGTAATAGTGAAGTCATCTATGCTGTTTTAAAGACGCCTGTTTCTTTGTCAGGTTTATGAAGGTTATGGCCAAACAGAATGCACAGCTGGATGCACCTTTACGACCCCAGGTGACTGGACATCAGGTAACGATTTTCTTCCACCATTTCCAGAAAGAAAAGAAATGCACATTTCTTTAGAAAATTCTGGACTGTAACATCACAAGGTGTTATACAACATTTGCCACTGTGTGAATAATCTTCAGCAAATGTCGCGTTCCTATCACTAGTCCAGAATAAATACACAGGGATCAGATGTTGGGCACGTTTGCTGGGGAGATTTGGAATTGTCCCTTGAGCTGTTATTTGCGATACTCTCATCTCTGCACTCCCGGCTCTGTGAGTCCTCTCTAGAGCACTGGAGGTGAATTTAATAGGGTGTTTGTTAGAATGAAATGCTGGAACAAAGAAAAGATTAATACATTCATGTACTTAGCGAGCAAACTCAGGCGTTGAATACAGATCCAGCACTACTCAATATTTTATCTATTTCAGGCTTTCAAAACTTTTGAATCTTGACAAAATCAGATAAAAATTAGCACTGAGCAAGGTCTAGTTAATACATACAAGTACTGCAGCTTAATTTCTTCTTTATATAATTAATCAGTATTTAGAAAAGTGTTTTGAAGTGGATAGCGTACTCATTCAAATGAATACTAGTAGGAAACGTGGACATTGGATATTAATGTATCTGGCCTGTTAAACATTTCCTTCTTTCCAGCCCAGATTTTCCGTGGCTGGAGAAGAGCACATGCTTTCTTCTCCCAGCACAAGTGGACATCTCTTTGGTTTTCTTCAAACCAAAACCAGCCCCTTGCAGATGCTGGTGTGTCCCGGGGCTGGCAGCCCCCCGGAGAAACTGTAGGGGTGGGGGGAACCGTGTTCGGCGTCACATCGCTGCAGTGTGGTATTCCCAGGGCTCCAGAGCTTTGTGTGCTTTTATAATGAGTTAAGTTTAAAAAAGGGGTAATCTCTTACACGTAAGGGGGGCATGGTCTGTATTTTGACACGTTTGAAAGTAGGGTTTATATATATATATCCAAATAGGAGGTTCGGGTATTTAGTCTTAATAGTGCAATACCTTAATGAGGAAATTATTTCTGCACGGAGACACAGCTGCTGCAAGCACATGAAGTGTATCTACAGCTATGCAAGCAACTAATGATAAGATGCTTATAATTATTTATGGGAGAGATGACAAGTGACTTGATAACTTTGATTTCCAGGTCATGTAGGAGCCCCTTTACCCTGTAACTTAATCAAATTGAAGGATGTGGAAGAGCTGAATTATTTTGCTTCCAAAGGAGAAGGAGAGGTAGCAAATCACATTTTTGTAACAAATTCTCACTAGTTAACACTGTATTAAGTAGTTTATGTAGTTATTAGAAGCATTTTAGCTTTGTAAGGTGCATGGTTGCAGATGTGTTACTTATTACAATCAGGAAAGGAAAATGTCAATTCAGCAATAGAGCATCAAAGCCTTAATTAAAAAGGGGCTGTGGCAGCACTTCCAGCCAATGCCATGCCTGATTACTTTAACAGCTAGGACTGAATTAATTAGTTCAGCTAAGAAGAGCTGAATTGCTGTGATATTTCTATACTGCACATAAATTAAACTCATTGAAATAACTTTGGGTTTTTTAACTGCAAGCTGAATGCAAATCAACTCCAAACACATCAGTTTTGCAGTCCCTACTTCATGTTTCTGTTAGTTTGAAAAAAATCCATAGATAATTTTATAACACAATATATTTTAGTTTCACAGAGCACGGCCATTAAGTCAACGTTTAAAATATTTCAGTTTTAGTGAATTACTATTTAGTTTGTTAGTATTTACAGCAGAATAATACCATAATTTATCAGCCACTCTGACTGTTTTGCAGATATGTGTGAAAGGACCAAATGTTTTCAAAGGTTATCTGAAAGATGAAGAGAAGACAACTGAAGCGCTGGACCAGGAGGGCTGGCTTCACACTGGAGACATTGGGAAATGGCTACCTGTGAGTACTGACCAGCTGCTTAGTTCTTATGTCAATTGTAATATCCCCTGTAAATTTTCAAGCACTGAACTTAAATTTCCAAGCAGATCTATCTTTACAAAGCATTAAGCTTATCTTTTGCAAAATAAGCTTGATATGTCTGTGAAGCATTTTCTGGCAAATTAAAGAGCTCTGTTAAAAGCAGATTTCTTACTGAGTCTCTGTGGTTAAATAACTTCTCTGGGAACTCTCATTTCTTTCTCCTAACAGAATGGGACTCTTAAAATTATTGATCGGAAAAAGCATATATTTAAACTTGCTCAGGGAGAATATATTGCACCGGAGAAGATAGAGAATATCTATATCCGCAGTGACCCTGTTGCCCAGATCTACGTCCATGGAGACAGCCTGCAGGTAAAAATGAAGTTTTCAGGAACTCTTCCTTTGTTCTTTGTAAACAGAAGACGGCTGGGCACGAGCGAGGGGCAAGTGCGAGTGGATCACGGCACGTTTTTGCCGTGTCCCTCCTGCTCCGGAGCCAGCTGCCAGCCCCGCAGTGGCCGGGAGGCTGTCGTGGCCACAGGTCAAAGCCTTCGCCTTTGCTGCAGGGTCACCCTGGGGGTCCCTAACGCCCTCCTTCGCCACGTTGCCTGCGCTAAGCCAGATGAAGGCAAAGCCACCTCTGCTCCATGACCACTGCCTACCCATTTTGACCAATCTTGGCCCGTTCTTCCCTTGTCCCCCTCCCCAAATTACAGCCCCGTTTGCTGTTTGCAGTTGCATATGCAGCGAAGACGGTTAATTAGCATCTTTATACAAACACGTACAGCTTCTGAAACCAGTGTAATTCATCCCTCTGCATTCACTGGCCGCAAACACGAGGCTTCCCTTGGCATCGGGGTTTGCCTGAGACTCAAAGGCCCACGAGCTGTGTGTCTATAAATGATACAGGCTCTGTTCTGCTCTGGCTTATGCCTGTGAAAGAAGTCAGTAATTAACATCCAAGCAGAACCCAAACCCAACTGAAGGTGTTAAAAGTGTCGGCAAATGCAGGAACAGTCACAGAGAACTGTTTAAGCTGAGGAAAAGGCACGGGCACCAAAATATACTTCACTAAGACATGTTATCAAATTATTGACATAATTAAACAAGAAGTGATAAACACATAGCAAATTCAACTTGCTGCTGTATTCACTTCCGTGCGGGGCCTTAAATGTTGCTCAGCTTTTGCCTGCAACTCTCCTTCTTCACTGACAGGCCTTTCTGGTGGGAATTGTGGTGCCTGATTCCGAAGTTATGCCAGGCTGGGCAAAGAAAAGAGGGTTTGATGGAACATATGCAGAACTCTGTAAAAATAAGGTTTGTCTTTCTATCTATCCGCAGTACAGACATTTTTTCACTGTAGCATAACCTAGTTAGAGTCGGTGTCTATTATTAATGATCTCAGTGACAAGAATTATTTCCTCACTGAAAATTAATCAGGGTTGACCTGGATACAGGGATGTGTGCTGACTGATGGTGCAGGCCTCAGTCCCAAGGGTCTGTCTTGCAGAGAACGAGAGTACGGCGGTAGGAGAGGTTGTGTTTGTTTAGGTGTCTTAAATAAGGCTGCAATCCTTATTTACACATGCTCTCTAATACCGAGTAACTGTGTCGGATCACATCAATGAACACTGATGCCACGGAATCACCCCACTGGTGTCTGTGGGCAAAGATTCTGCATCTAAATCTGGCAAATGGTTGAAGGAGTGCAAATTTAAGCATCTACGCCATGTAAGTTTGAAAATATAATCTTATATTTCACACTGAAGAAAGAGTTAACATCACTGCACGTATGTTTAATGTCTGTACATTTCTTTAATAGAATATTTGCTAGTTATGTATTAACTATCAATAAGGCGCTTGAGCTTTACTCAGAAACATGTTTTCTTGATGAACAATGACATTAATTGCATGTAAGGTTGACTCTTATATTTCATGAGGAATTTATGTTTTAACCCAGGAACTGCAGCAAGCAATAATGGAAGACATGGTACGGTTAGGTAAGGAGAGTGGACTTCATTCCTTTGAGCAGGTAAAATAAAACAATTAACACATTATTCAGTGTGGCCAGACAGGCAATTTGTCCATTTGTATTGAATGCGAGTTTGTCAGCATTTGTTATGTTACTACATATCCTTGTTGCAGCTGAACATGGTGTTTTCAGGAGGAGTGCTTTATTGCTGGCAAGTGGTATTTGTTTCTTTGACAAATACATACGCTGTGATTTTGCCTTCCACTCATGCTTGAAATTGGAATCAGATTTAGTGAAAGTTTTGGGTGCAGAAGTAAAAATCTAATCCAGGGACATGGATAATCTCCAGTCTGATGACCAGAGGCCAAGATAAGTGTCTGTAGGACTCTGATTCTTCTGCCCCTGAAAGCACTGTTAAGAAACTGGGTCACTAATTACCATTCTTAAAACTGACAAAGGAAATGCTGCTGGTTTGTTTATTTTCAGCCTGTGCACTAATTCTTTTCTGGTGCTTGTGTAAATATTTCTGCAACAGAGTTACAAACACTTCAGGAGAGATCTGAAGTCACCCATGGATTACATAACATTAAAAACACAGTAAAAAAAAAAAAAAAAAAACAACAAAACTCCACCACATTTTAAAATGTCAAATGCTTATTTCTGTTAAAATATGAACATCTTAATCGTAGAATCATACAAGTCTATTATCATTACATATAATTAGCAAGGCCTTTTTGCTTTTGTTCAGACTGTTTCGGGGTGGTAATTCTAATGAGTAATTCACCATATCTGAGTGCAGCAGAAGCACAATTATAAATGAACTTGGTATTAATTTCTCAGTTACATATGCAAATGAATTGATAGTAAAAAGAAATTAATTTAAAAATTAAATTCAATATAAAACATGGTTTGTAATGCACATAATTGTCTGTGGAGATGTCTGGTTTGCTCCAGCCATAGTCTTCACCCTGTGAAATATCTTCAAGTAATCTATGCTACCCCCAGGTTGCAATTAATAGAGTGGTGCGGAAAGCCCTGCCATCTTTTGAAAAATTAAATGTTTCACATTTCAAAACTGAAAGGGTTCAAAATTCAATCTCTGTTGCAAAACGTAATCTTAAAACCAACCCTTGAGCCAGATATTACAGCTCATGCTCCTGTGGGATGGGATCCCCTGTGTATCATCCCCCTCCTTGGCTTGGAAACGACAACTCTAGCTTCTGTAACCACCAGCTTCCAGGGCGCAGGCTCTGAACGCCAGTGTGGAGATGGGGGGAAGCGTTAACAACGCGACCACGGATTTTGTGAAGGATGTCACTGGGGGAGGAACAGGACCACGGTGATTGCAGGGGAAAAATGAATCACATAGCTAGTGGGAATTTAAAAATGGATTCTCAGTCTATATTCCAGCAGCTCCCAGTCTAACAAAACGCAGACCGGTCTGGTTTGGGGAATCACAACAGAAGCAGATGGCTAGGGAATTTTGTCTTAAGTTGGTGGACTATGACCAGTCACGCAGCAGTTTTCTGTTTTCTCCCACACCAGCACTCCCATAAACACACTGGAAGGCAAAGCTCGCTCCCATCTGTGCTGCTAGGCTCCCTGCTGTGCTCAGAGACACCGCCGCTAACAAGGGCAGCCTTGTAAAATCCTGTTTGCCTAGGCTGAATGATTTTAGATCATTTTAATTAGCTAGTAAAGCACCATCAATTCTTCTTTAAAGATGATCGCCGCGCACGCTCTTTGTGCCTGCACAGCTTCATGATAATTTTGCAAGACCAAATTAGTGCTGCTTACTTTCTTCTGCAGTCTGGCTAAGAGGATGGTTCTTAGCACAACTCCCTGCCCTCCCTCCCCTCCACAGTCCTTCAACCGTGCAAAACTCCGCGGTTACGATATCGCATATGGTGACACCGTCCCTCGCGCTCTGCCTCGCTGTGTTTTGGCCTTGATTTCACATGGAAAAGAGGTTTCTGTGCTCGTTATCTCGGTCCCTTCTGCGCTGGCTGGCGGGTGAACAAGCAGGGAGCGGTGAGGGGTGGCGGAAGGGATTTAGTGTCACCTCGGAAAACTTGGGCAGGTGAGGAAAATCCTGGGCGCCCGGCGGAAGGGTCCCTGCTGTCCTGGCACAGTCAGAGGTAACTGCAGCAAGGCTGGCGTGAGAACTTACACTTACTGTGATGCCTGTAATTTTTCCTATAAATATATCCCTTTCTTATTTTAGGTCAAAGCCATTTACATTCACTCTGATATGTTCTCGGTACAAAACGGTTTGTTGACACCGACATTAAAGGCTAAGAGACCAGAATTAAGAGATTACTTCAAAAAACAAATAGAAGAGCTATATTCAAGCATCTCCATCTGAAATCATGGGAAGACTCTTCTGAATAATGGACTTCGTAGCAATATTAGAATAATACTCAAAAGTACAGAGCCAGAATGACACAGCTGAAATGGATAAGCATCGGAATCTTACATATGAGCCTTTCATTGTTCTAGGATTTCGCCACTAACCATAATTTTCCTTCTTTTTTTCATCAGGTGTGCTACAATTTATTTTTTACTCTATGTACACAGTAGAGTACTACTAAGAATTACGCTAAATTGCCACAAAATACATAGAAACTTCAATCTATGACCTAGTAAATTATGGAAACTTATCTTATTAATAACTACAAACATTTGTAATTAAAATAGGGAAAAATTCAGGTACGTCTGTTGATATTTGATTGTATATAACCTAACACATTAGAAACTAAAATTGTGGATAATTCAATAATGTGGTCTACCTCAAACAGCCAGTGATTGATGGTGAAAGTCTATTTTCCCTGATCTGAAACTTCAACCTGGATATTGGTTTATATATTAAGTCATAGTTTTTATATTTTCCAGGACATAAATTACATTGATTTGATTTAATCATTAATGACCTAACTGTCAACCAGAATAGAAACAAGAATGAATCTCCTGCTATTTGTACTTAATAGACATATTATTATATTACATCTGAGGGATTAATATTTCCTTGAAATTACAAAAACCGGTTAGGAAGCAACAGGATAGAATTCCCTCCATTTCCTTTTCATCCAAACTCCGTTTATACATGGCATGCTGGTTTTGCATTAGGGCCTCCGTCAGCACGGTACACTCGTGGACATCTGAACTACTCAAACTGAGAAGGTTGCAAAAGCATCGCTGGCTCTGGGGCAGCTTTCTGGGGGAGTTCACGTTAACCCGTATGCTCCCGGTCCCTAATTTATTACTTCACATGCTGCTAATACTGCGTAGTCCGGTTGGACTAACTCCCTTTCAGAAACAGTGCTCAAGAAATGGAGCTAGGCTGCGATTCTGCGTGGGGCTTAGCAAAAAAAATTGGTGTGGGCAGGCGGAGATGCGGAGGGCATCCTTCGGCTGGCTGTGGAGGAGGAAGGACTGTTGCTCCAGAGTCCCGCAGGGGTGGGCGGAAGGCTGTTAGCCAGCGTGTTGTAAGGTGTCAGGGTACGGGAAAGCACTGGCCGCAGTTGCAGAAAGGCTCACTAAGAAAACATCTCTGCCTTCAAATGTCTGGAAGCCCCAGTTCCCACTGTCGTCACTTCCAGCGGCCTCTCTGGAGGAAACAGCAAGTTGTCTGGATGAAACCCGAGATTTCACAACCGGCTGCAGCTGTTAGAAAGGGGATGTGTCCCATGTGGAACAGGGACAGGCTCTGGAGCCCTCTCCTGATATAAAGCATGGTACAAAACAATGAGAAAACTGTAATGTCAAGTTGCTTGAACACTTGGACTGTCAGTGGCTTCCTTCTGCTAAACAGGGTCCTAAATATATCTGTGTATTTTAATAGCTGTTGTTTGTTGCACCAGTGCATCCTAGCATGGAGCTGAGCCTGCTAGATCTTTACTAGGACAGTGAAAGCACACTTACTTTCTCTCTTAAACTGGAATCTCCTCTAGATTTTTGAAGCTAAAAGTTTAAATTTTAATCTAAATGATCTCTTATGTTCCCCATGAAATTCCACTGCATGCTGCAAAATGAAACAAATTGAATGAATGACTTAGCATTACACGAAGACTGATTTATTACAGTGATTTTGGAACAAAATGATACAGAGGAAACAGCTAACAGAAGAGGCCAATTTGATTTATCAAATGTCCAAGTATTTGTCTGAATTCCTTTTTGCGCCTGATTATTCCTCATTTGATTCCAGTGCAATGATTCACACCTGTCCAAAGCAAGTAAGAAATGCCGCTACTGTGATCTGATGGCATTGTACATTCATTTCTCACCAACCTGCACAGCAACGGCTGGGGAATCTGCGTCGGCCACGTCTACAGAGGAGAGGAATTATGGTATAAAATCTGGCTCTTTAGGTCAAGTCATAAAGGATTTTCATCTCTGCGGAGCCTAGTTCATCTCCTTTTTGTATCAGCCAAAAGACAGTCATTACAATGGCACGCTTCAAAGCTATGAAGAATTGGTACAATTTCCTGTTCTAATGTGACATACTTTTAAAATTAAAAAAATAACTAGTCATCTAAATAAGTACAGAAAAGCTATTTTTCACCGACCTTTTTCTACCACATGAATTTAATTTACTTTTCTCCTGAAGATGATTTCAATTTACCAAACTTTTCTAGGTAATTAAACTCTGACTTTGTATAAGTACAGAGGATCCCAATAAGAGTTTATTTACGGCTTAGATAGCTGATATGTTTAAGTAATACTGAATACTATATCTGTATTCTTCTTCTGGTATTTGATGCAAAATATCAGATGCACTAGAGCCAAAGATATGAACACCAAACAAATAAGAAGGAAAAAATACAGACTTGGCCACACTAGGCTGATGCGAAATTTGGGAGAAATTGTGTTGTCACACCAAAAGTGTGAATACTTTCAGAACTTGTGAAAAGCTGTATAAATAAATGAAAAGCTCTTGTGTAATCAGATTTTCCTCTGCAGGTCACTCTCTCTCTCTTGCCATAATCATAACAATGTTGTAGGAGATTAGAACTTGGAAAGAACACACGCATAAGCGTGAACCGGGCATAAACGTGCTTCCCTTCAAATTCCAGAAATATTTATTTTGCATTGAGCTTTCTTAAACTGAAATGTGACCACCAGTGAAAAATCCCCAGGACTATCCAATAACCAGTTGTTGGGGGTTTTTTCCCCCCTCAAGATAACCAATTACAGAATTAATTTCTAATCATCTTATTGAAAGAGTCGAAACTCAAGTCCTGTTGCACAAGTGGCAACGCAAGTTACCCTTCCCTGTGAAGAGCCCTATCCTCTATGGCTTCAGGATGACTGGTTTTCCCTAATCACTGTCCTCTGGGGGTTCATTCTGCGATCAATTAATGAAAAAATACAGCGATCCCACTGCAGTGAGCGTGGGCGGGTGGGAGCAGCGCTGCTCAGCCAGGCCCCTGCGATGGGGCTGCTCCTCGCTGTGGGCTCAGGCGCTGAGTCCGGACGTCTTAAATACGGGAGGTTCTTCCCAGACCCGGAGCTACGCCTGTGAAATCCCTGGAAGAACATCTCCAGTGCTCATATGTAAAAACCAGAATAAACCACATTCTGCCAGGAAGAGAATACTCCTTAGTTATGTATTTTGTATGTTCTTGGCTCAATATTTTGCACAGAGAAAATGCCTTTCTGCCACAGGAATGGGGAAAGGCACACAGAAGTGGGAGCAGAAACCATACCAGACAGTCTTAACCCCATGTTGGCAGGAAATATACAGCGTTATTCTGTCCCGAAAGACACATCTGCAGGTTGAAATGTGTGATGCACATCAGGTGAGAGAGAGAGACGGGGAGCTGTTTATTGGCAAAGTGCTGTTTCACCATCTGTCCTCACTGTTAGTATTTATCAGCATCGGTAAAGTCCAGTGTCATTTTTGCCATGAATATGAAATTCTTGCATATAACAGAAAATAATCTGACTTAATCTTCAAATTAACTATAGGTTGTCTTGCTGTTTTGTTTTTGTTTGTTTTGTTGTTTTTTTTTTTTTTAATTTTCCATGTGTTAAAAGCACAAACTGGTGATCTACATGTAAATAAACTGCTACAAGATGAATGTAAACTGGGAAAGAATATACTATTTTTGCATGGTAACAGATTACTTAAAGACCTCTTGATGCCTTACAGAACATTTGGAAAAGCATTTTATTTAGAGGCAATTCTATCCATGTACTTTTTGTATCTTTAGCTCACTTTGCTTTTGTCTGTGGAAAAAAAATTAGCAGAATTAGATCTTTGTTTCTTCTTGCAATTAACATTCTTCAGTACTTTGCACATTCAGTGGTTTCTACGCCACCTTTATGCCTGTTACATGATGAAGCTGAAGCTGTGCTTTTTGGCGGAGAAATCTGGATGCTTGTAGTCTGGGAGGGAAAAAGTTTTAGAGCCCTGGAATTGTTCCAAAATAAAATGTTTTCTGAGGCATCTAGAGCCCCTTTAAGCCCTTCACTTCATTTCAGCTTTTTGTTATGTATTTTAGCAAAGTACAAGCAGCAAAAATGATGAGGCATTTTAGTAATTGTTGCCTATTCTATTTTCAACTGAAAGTGAAGGGGTTAAAATATAACATATACATTTGTGTAAAAAAAAAAATCTTAACTGTAATTAAAGAATTTTCAGTTTTGGTATATTAGCATGTATATCGAAAAGTCATCTATGGAAACTTTTGTAAAGAATTAAATTGTCACATTTCTCAAAACTGCTCATAAGATTTTCTGGTGGACTGACATACAATAAAAGCTCTTTTATAAAACCTGCTGTTACTCCAGCACTCTCTCCTCGCAATCGGTATGAAGTCGTTCAGAATGTGTGCCTATACTAAATGTGTTGTAAAAAAAAAAAAAAAAAAAAAAAAAAAAAAGAGACATGAAATAACAACCAAAGGAATATTGGAACCTGAGACTGATTTTAGCAATCTTCTACGAAAAAATTGTTGCAAAGTTCTCTGAAGATGCAGCAGTCTTTCTGTAGTGGTTTCATTTTTTACTTTAAATCAATAATAATGTAACCAAATGTATATGCTTGTTTAATATGAATTGACAATTGGGAATGCATAGTATTTTTTCAAACTATGTGTCTAAAACAATAAAGTTTAAAAGCATTCAGTCTCTATTCCAGTTTTTGTGTGCACTTGCATCTCTCCCTTCCCTTGGAAATTCAGTACCAAAGAATTCTCTCAAATTTTTCGTATTAACGGAGCAATGAGATTCCTCTACCCTATCCACTTAAGCTGAAACCCGAGGTCTGATCAATAAAATAGAACTGATGCGATTTTGATAGTAATATGTATATATTATAGAACTGTTATCTACCCGCATATTTATTAGCCCAAAACAGCGGAAGGCACCCGCAGCACTCAGTACAACCCCAGCAAATGCCAGCAGCGGGGTAACAGGAGCGGGCCCAGGCAGGATTATTCAGGGGCACCGATGCACTTCCATTTTCCATCAGGAACCAGTGCCTGGTGTTTGGTTCGACGGGAACGGTCGGGGGGGATCCGGGGGGCTGCCGTCCACCATCCTCTTCCAGGTTTCTTCGCCCCCATCCCGCCTGCGGTGTCAGCCCGGGCCTTGTGCCCGGCGCCGGGGCCCGCTCCCCCCCGCACCCTCCATTTCTCTCGGCCAGGTTGATAACCGCCCTTAGCATCGATTTACCCTCGTTCGACACAAAACTCCTCAGGCCAGACGCCTGCTGATAACGCGTCCAGGGAAAAGCAAAGCTTCCCCTTTCCTCCGCCTCTACCGCTGCGCTGCCTCTCCCCGGGGAGCCGCCTGGACGGCCATCCCCCTCACGCAGCGCGGCTGCCCTGCGTGGGCGTCCCTTCCCCTCTCGGAAGGCAGCTGCTGTGCGGGGACGGGTCGCCGATTTCCCTCACGGAGGGCTGCTGCCCTGCAGTGACAGCCCTTCCCCTCACGGAGGGCGGGCAGGTGCCCTGCGCCACCCGCCCTTCCCCTCACGGAGGGCGGGCTGCCCGCTCCCCGCCTCAGGGCTGTGGCGGGCGGCAGCGCCGCCGGGTGCCGGCCAGGGGAGGTGCCGCGCATGCGGGCTGGGGTCGTGGGGTGGTGGTTGCCCCCCCACCCCCTCAAACATGGCCGCCGGCTGCTGAGGGCAGCCCAGGGTCGGCTCCCTCTTCGGGTTGCTGAGGGAGACTCGGCCCGACATGGAGCCGTCCCGCTGGCGGAGCGCTTCCCGCGGCGGGAAGGCACCGCGGAAGAAGCGCCGCTCGTCCCCGCTGCCGGGAGCGGCCGCTCCTCACGGCAGCCGGGCCGGCGTCTCCCAGCCGTGCCGGCGGCGCCTCTTTGGGAGCGTGGCCCCCCGCGGGCCGGAGCCCGGCTGTAAGCGCCTTCCCTCCCGCCGCCGACCGCCTTCTCCGGGCCCCGCGGTGCCGAGTCGCCGCAGCTGGGGAGGCGGTTGGGCCAGGCCCGGGGAAGCGGGCCCTGTGCTGTGCTTTGTCCAATCCTTGTGTTTTTCTGGCGGTTTGAGGAGCGGGGAGGTTGTTGCCAATAGCGATCTGCGAAATGTTGTGTGTTTTCGGCGTGTTCCCCCCCACCAGCCGCGTAGCGCTGGGTTTCCTCACCTTTTAGTCCTGCCCAGCTGGTCCTGGGCGAGGGTGGGGAGCGGTTTGTTGTTACTCAGGTCTCTCAGGGCGTGGAGAAAGCGGGCAGCTGGTCTGTTAACAGAACCGTTTCCTCCGTTTTAGCTGTTAGCTTATAATTAAAAAGGCTTTTCCTGTTGTAAGGTACCTCCACTCCCAATTTCTTTCAGAAATGGAACGACATAACCGTTGCCCGCCTTTGAGGGGACACGTTAAAAAATCGCTTGAAGTTGTTCCTCAAAAGGAGCGGTCCCTTTGAATGCAGTTGAGCAGATCTTGAGTTAAGAATTGGAGACGTTAAATAAATGCAGTCTGAGTGGAAAGTGTGGCATTGAAGTAAAGCCAGATGGTAATAGTGTAACTTGCACAAGTAAATTGGGAAGACCAGTGTGGGATGTCTTGGTTATGTAAAGGCATGACTTTATGGTTACTGGCTTTTTTTTTTTTCATTTAATCAGGATGTTTCTGAAACACCTGAAGTATTTCTTGAAGGCTGTTATTTCCTCCTTTTTTTTTTTTTTTTTTTTTGTCCTGTTAATATACTACTGAAGGAAGTTTGGGTAAAAATAATAAAGAAAAATTAGACTTTATGCTGTTTGAGGTAATAGGGTCAAAAATTGTTATGGGTATGGAAGGGTAGAAAACAGCTAAAGGTGCCCTATTAAAAATAATCATTTAAATTCCGATCTTAAAACTAAAATTACTCAACTAAATACTTGGGTTTTTTTATAGGCATCAAGAGAAAGCTCCCTGTAAAAGCCCTACAAAAAATTAAAGAAAATCTTGAAGTCACTGAAGTGGGCCATTCATCCAACCAAAGGTCCGTTAGAACTCCTTCAAATACACCGTTATTAACACTAACTAACCATTTATAATTTTGCCTGCATGAGGTATCTGTTGGAGATGTCGTCTGAATTCTCAGTAAACTGATGTTTGTCAGACTGTTCGCACCTCATAAAGATGTTTTGTAGTTGTTGCCTTCCTCTAAAACAGTGTAGCTCTGTCTATTGAGCTTAGCTCTGTTCTTCAACTGCAGCAACCAAGAAACAACAGACTTGGAAAAAAAAGAAGAGAAAATAGAAGAAAGCACTGTACAGCAGAAGGTGAGATTGCTGTCTTGCTCTTTATCTACTAGTAATTTATGGAGGATAAAACAAAGAAATGTGACGTGTTAAATTCATTTTCTAATCAGGTAGAATTTCCTGTGAGTTATGCATGTGTGTGTGCACATTTCTCAGGCTGAACGTGATCCTGTGTTTTGGTGACATTTTCCCCTGTCTTTGGCTAAAATAAAAGCTGTTAGAGCTATTGGTAGCATGGGAAAACATCAATACTAATTATCCTTAACGGGGAAAGGCCGTAGCAATTGTGTTGTGTGGAATATATCTCATTAGAACGTGATTCCAGAGAATTGCTTGCTTCTAGTTCAGACACAGGCCTTTGTCAAGTCACTGTTGCGCTCTTCCTCGTGTTAGTAAAACTGGAACAAAGTATTTTGAGGTGACTGAGCAGAAGTATTAGAGGACAGTCAATACTGCTGTGGCAAGAAAACAGTTCACCAGGTATATTTGAACTGAAATCTGCTACAGCAAAGGGCTCAAGTGATATTGGTGTAAAAGTATTTTTCTTTAAAATGTTAGTTCTTATTTAGAGTCTGCCAATTATTTACATTTCCTGCATATGTTTAGTTTTGTAGAATATGCTACATATATAACATAGTTGTTAATATTTATAGAAATGGTCTAGGATTCTGAAAGTGAGAAGCATGAATTGAGCCTCCTAAAAAATAAGACGGCAAAATTCATTACTCTCCTGCTATCTTATGCATAACTTCAGTTGATGTCAGTGTGCCTTCACTGGAAGTCTCATCCAGCAGAGGTTGTAGGATCGAATGATTGGGTATTCATTAATTTTAGAACTGTAGATCAGATTGCAGATTTATTAATGATACGTGAAAAACCCTGGTACAAATTACACTGTGAATAGCAAGTTTAAGTGGTGAAGTACCAGGCTAAGTTTCTGAGCATCTTCTAATGTAGGAATACATTTAATTGCATTTCTTTCTTTACGTCCAGTTTTCTTAGGTTGTTTGCATTGGTCATTTAATTTTAGGAATCCCTGATAATCAACTTTGAAAGTAAAGACAGTTTGAAAAATGCTGAAGTGACTTCAAGTGAGTAAATGGCAATACATTATATTATTAAATATATTTTTATATCTGTATAAATCTAAATGTAAAAGTCACTATATAATTTTAATTATATTTCTTTAAAAGTACTGGTGTGCTGTTCTTGTACTGGTTCTCACTGTGTGATATTAGAAAGTAAATGTTTTGAGACCACTGGCTGGACTTCTGCCTCTGATTCCAGCCTGTGGCTTGGTTCATGGGAATGGATTGTAGGCAGCACAGACAGGATAGGAGACCTACAAGACCTGTGACAGCCTTGAGCAGAGCCCGTTGAAAACCACATGATCTTGGTTTTAGCATTGACAGAGATAGTTGTTGACATGAGTTCTTCGATTCACTCAAACATTAATTTTTAAAAGTTTGTGCTTAAATAATTTGTCTTTCTGAAAACAAACCTGCCTCAGAATTACCTTCTCAGAGGCAAGGAAGGTGTTTTCTGTTAGCTTATGGTAGTGTAAATCTGGCTTCAGGATGCCCTTTGTTTATTTCTTTAACTGTATTATGAATCAATATGAGATACTGACTTGACAATATTTAGCTTATCACGTGAATGAAACTTAGATAAGGAAATGCTGATGCTTAGTACAAGATGATACTTTTTTTTGGTAGCTGCCTTTTTTGTCTCTTTCTCTAGGTACAGGAATGACTCTTCCCACGGGTGTTTCAACCTATCTGCTTGAGTGTTTAGGTGTAGATTCAACTGCAGATTGTAATGCAGGTGTTAGTGACAGCCTTAACAGTTGCCCGTCCCCTGAAACATTCAGAGATGATGGTTCAGGTGAGACTTCTGGGTGTTTTTTTGAGCTTTATTTGATGTAGAAAATGCGGGGGGATTATTTACAGTAGAAAGACTAATGGCCTCTTGGTGTGACTCACCAGGTCAGATCTTTCCTTGGAGCCAACCTGTGCTTAACATGGGATCTGTATATCTGGTCCTCCAGTCCAGTGTGAATCAGGTCCTGGTGTACTTTGAATCATGCTGTAAACTTAAAGTATTCACTGTTGACACAAGCTGTTTGATGAGCAGCAAATCTGCTTTGAGTCCAATTCCTCCCAAACTTTTCTGTAGCTCTTTGAGCCAAGACGATGCTTTCAGTTTGCTTTAAATTCCTGTCTTGCAAATGTGATTGCTTTCAGTTTGGTCACAAATTTAATAACTCGATTAATTTCAGAATAAGAAGCTTGCACATTTATCTTTTATGTCCAGAAAGAAGTCATTTTTACTCTGAAGACTCTTGCAAGTACAGGAACTCTACTCTCCTGGACTCCAGCAAAGCAGTGACCATAGATAAGATACCACAGATCTCAAATTTTTCAGCAATATTAGGTAATGCTTTTCTACAATACTTCAGAATATATACATAAACAAATTGTACTCTGGTGCAAGGAACCTGTGTAAACTATGTAATGATCATTTAATTTAAGGCATGTCTGTGTAATGGGGAACAGCTCCTGTTAGTGGTATGTGTGTGCTTCTGATATTTTGCTTTATAATTTAGTGTGCATTAAAACTTTGTCTGGTCTGCTTAACTCTTTCGTTTAAAGCTTAGCTCTTATGTTTTTTAGAACCTGTACTGGAGGATTTGAAAGACCAATGCACTAGAAGGTAATCTGCAAAGCACACTCTTTAATGCACCTTAATGTTCAGGTTTTTCTCTTTTGAATTATATTTGAGAGGCCAGTATGAATAAGCCTCTGATCCCACAAACACTTATTACTGAGTTTTGTGTGTCCTCGCTGACTTTGAAATTGGTGCTCAGGTATGAGTTTGCCGTAGGCTTTTGTTTCAGTCTTGCAGCTGTAGGGAAATCAAGATAAGAAAACTCAGAAGAATTTTATGGTAGGGGAAGGTGACATTTTATGTAAAAAAAAAATCCCTAAATAAGTTGCTTTTACCCAATTGCACTTACTCTGCTAGATTTCATTCAGTCACAGGGAGCAAGATGTGTGTGCCCAGGTGGTCTGGCCAGGATTGCCTGTGCAGTACAGGGCGTGGAAGGTACCTGTTGTCAAGTCGTCATTGAGTCTCTGGTGTTCTGTGCTTGCCCAGGACAAAATTAGGTTTGGGGCAGTTCTTTAGAAAGCACCAGCTTATCTGGGGCACTCCTTTGCTTCAGAATCTTACTGACTTCAGCCTTTATAAATCTTGGGCCAGGTTGCTGCCCACTGTCTGTTTTCTCCTGTTTGGAATCTGTGTCCAGCAGGAAGCAGAATGGTGTATGTGATACGCTTCGACCCTGTTGCCACCCTCCTGTTGTTAGGATGCCAGGTTTTCTGTTGACAAGTCATCTGTGGTGTGGTTTTATCACAGTGAAGGGTCTTCTATACTTGGCCTTGTCACAGTGCCACCTTCAGGTCCTGATGTAAAACTGAGTAGTAGGAGTGGTTTTTCTAGGAACAGTGTAATTTCTTTTAACCCTTGTGCTGCTGTTTCCAGTCTTACATGCAGACATTTCCATTCATAACTAATTTATGCCAATCTCAGTGTTACAGATCTTTACACAATTCAACCTGAATTTTCTTGTGAACCTAACTTTCCCCTGCATCCTCATTGAGTATGTTCTGTTGTAGTATGCTTCAGTGCTGACTAGTGTATGTCTTCGTGGGTCTTAAATTGCAGATATCTTCAGAATAAGCACTGTAACTTGATGATAAACTATCAAATAACTGTAAGATGTGATGAAGTAACTCAGGAACAATATTTTTTAAAAAAAGGCTTATCCCTTTTCACTCAGTCTATATTTTCCTATGGTTTCCTTTTTTTTTTTTTTTTTGTAACATTAACATTCATTCAGAATAGCTGTTCACTTTTTTCCCCTCTTCTCCTAGAAAGAGACCATCCAATTGCAATTACAGTTCTTCAGCATTAAGTGCTTCAACTACTCTGGCAGGTAAAATATGACCTGAAGTAGTCATACTAGCTGTGAGTCTACCCAGACTTAAATGATGGTAAATTATCAGAACCAGGCTTCCGCTGGGTCATTTGTCCCCCTAGTACAGGCTAAGCTCAATTGTGTCTAGAAGGGAAAGTGTGAATTGAAAATCTTTGCTGTATATAACACATTAATTAGAATCAAATTTTAGAACAACAAAACCACAAACCCTGCATTCTTCTATTTAATCACCTGTGATGCTTAATGAAAATGAACATTTCTTACTTATCCAGGAACAGAACTGTTTGTGTGATGCTCCTTCCTTGAACTTATTTCATATCAGCTTCACAAATACTATTAGGAGTCCCTTATGTAACTACAGTTCTGAACTGGGACTGTTGCAATTCTGGCTGTGACCCAGGTACCACATAATTTTCCCCTGCTTAATTTGGACAGTAATAACAGCAGAAGTTGCCACTGGCAAAGACTGCTGTGATTATGCAGTTCCTCAGCTCCCACAGTATGGGTGTCTAGCAGTAAATAGCTAGGTGAACGTAAGATTAGTAAGCAACCTTGTTTCGAGGGAAGGGAGAGGAGTAAAGCAGCCCTGTTGGTGGGGAGAGGGAGATGAGGATTGTATTGAAGGGAGGAAGTGTGTTTACATGGGTGGCTTTGGAATGGTCCATCTTTAAAAACCATCCTGTAAGACATAGGTTGGAGAGTAGCTGCGGTCTTTGTCTCAAAGTTAATTAATTTGTTGGAAATTTATCACAGGAAAAAAAGTCTGTAAAATCAGAGCTGCAAAGGAGAGAACTCCAGACCCAAAAAGGGGTATGCGCTGTTCTTCACCGTTAGGACCGGAAAAAAAGGTGAAAGATCCTTAATAAATCATCCAGGTTGTAACACAGATGACTTGCTCCTTCCTTGGATAGGTAGAAGATTCTGCCTGCAAGTGTAGCAGTTCCTTTGAAAGGGGTGCCTGAAGTCAATGGCAGAGTGAAGCTGTAGCTGGCCTCTACCTCTGGGTAGCAGTAATAGCTATGGGTGCCCCCCAAGCTCGCTGGTTTTTATACTAACTGTGTCAGTGGTACCTAATCAGTTGTGTAGAGCTTGAGTATGACACTGTGACTCTCTGTTAGTGCTTACCACACCACAGAGGTTTGCTTTATAACATGAAATGTAATTATTTCACCCTTTAGCCTGACAATCAAACTGCTACAGCTAAAAAACTGAAGCATAAGAAAACAGAAAAAAAATCTAATATGTTAGAAGGTGGTGCATCGTCATTTGGTCGGCTTGATGCCCCAGGAAACACTTCAGCCAAATCAGTGGGGTTGACAGCAGAAGTACTGCCATCCAAACAGACAGATGCTGAGGTGGTAAGTATTCCCTCGGTGCCCCGCTGATTAGCAAAGGCATAAAAATGAAGAGAGATGTTTGGAATCCTGAAAAAAGTTAAAATTAAATATGGGAAGTGGTAGGAAGTGCTTTATCCCCTGGTTGTGAAGGGGACCTGAAATTTGTGTGTTCTGTGCTGCAGTAAACTGATACTTTGTCTTAATTTTGAAAAGCATAAGACCAAAAAAACCCAAAAGAATAACAGGAATTCAGTACTGAAATCCAAAGAACTATTAGTAATTAAAAATGGAGTTGTTATAAATAGTATTGTGTACTAGGGGAATACTGTAGGACTAATAATAAACAGCAAAGGATTTGAAACTGATACTGAATTCTTCTCTGTTTTTGTTTAGCAAATGAGTTCCATTATGCTGATCATGGAGGAAAAGAAAGCCTTAAATTCTGGTTGTGCTCAGCCTGCAGAGCTAGATGTGAGTGTCTATCCTGATACTTTTCCTAATGATTAGAACCAAACATTGTTCTTCACAGTACAGTGCAATTCTGGCTGTCCTTATGCTACAGTACAAATTGCACAACAAAATAAATGTTAGTTTCTATTAGCTGGACAGTTAAACTACAACAAAACCCCTAGGTATCCATTTTATATTTTTATAACATTTCCTAATGTAAACCTGGCATCTAGTGGCCTTACTTGCATTACCCCTTCGATATAAACAAACTTGATACTTAAATGCCAGTTTGAATTCTTTCTCAGTAAAGGTAGTACAGTACTTCTCTGCAGGAGTTGAAGTGACTTTGCTTTCATGCCATGGCTCCCAACTGAATCAGCAAACTAACATTTTTTAGAGAAAGGGAAACTGTTACAATAGAAAGACTGCTTAATGTTGCATCAGATTATTTGGCAGGAAAACATGCTGGGTTTTCCTAGTGCTGTTGCAAGTAAAAGTGAGATTATGGATACTAGATTAACAAATAGAGAATATCAGAGTCGTTTTAGAGGCTGAAGACAGGAATCACTGGAGTCCTAAATCATATTTTTGAAGCAATAGAACACCTTTTGCATGAACCAGCAAGCGTTCACCTATTTGAATTATTTAACTGGGCAGTCGTTGCTGTATATTTTGTATTTTGATAGAGCTGTAGTTTAGCTTGTCACCAGTGTGCAAAGCCTTGCCTGGGGAAGACCTATTCCTGAATACCACAGGTCCATATGTAAATTCAGAAGAAATTGTTCCTGTATTTATTGAGTTCAGAAAAATAAATTATTCCTCAAAGTTCAGAAGAAAAGAATATTCTTAAGGTTCTAATTTTAATGCACTCTTTAAATCCAGTTTTGGCGTGCTAATATGTAATATACTGTATATTTAAACCTTATGGTATTACAAATAGCCAAAGAGAATGTTTAAGCTTTGAAGCTTTCTATCACCCTTTCTGATAGCATATTAAGTGTACACAAGTAGTTCTAAATGTTTTCTAATGACATCCTTTGTAATCTGCATGCCATCTCTAATTTCCCTAGAAGAAAGCTAGGAGACTATTTCTTTGATGGAAATAATTATGTGAATGAAATGTCATTAATCTTTTCAGCCCCTGTGTGGCAAACAGCAAATCTGCTCCATTGTCAGAACATCACCGTGCCAGAGGCCTTCCAGGCTTCGCCAAATTCCAGTTAACACAAAAGTGTTCCAGCTTCCCAAAAGAGAGCCTGAGGGTAAGAGCATAGAACTGGATCGCTGTGCAGATGGTAACTGGCTATTTGAGTGTTTAAAGTTTTTTGGTTTTGTTTTTTTTTTTTTTTTATTTTTAAGTCTGAGTATTTGGGAAAATCACAATGCTAAAGAGTAAAAGACACTGAAAAGTTAATGTGTTCTCGTGTAATAGTACTTCACTGACAAACTACACAACACTTCTTCCTCCCAAGGCTCTTTTGCTTAGGAATTAGCACAATCCAGCCATTTCACAGGCTAGATCATGAAAGCCAGAAGGTGCTACTAGGTGACGCAGGGAATATGTGCACCTCTCCAAGTTACTCCTGAACGCAACTTTGAGCTTCACTGCTGGTATGGAGACTCGCTAGAAAAGATACCAGCTTTAGTAAATTGTTATCCTATGCCTGATTTCTAGGGTGAATATGTCTGACTTCAGCTTTCAGTCACTGGTGTGTTTTATATCTTGCTCAGCTAAACCGAGCTCTTTAGCATCCAATATGTTTTCCCCCTCTGAAAGTAGTTCAAATAATAGGGTGTGTTTTTTCTCTAAAGGTTATCGATTTCTCTGTAAAGGTTTCTGTCTTCTTCTCATGAGACCTTTAACATAGGGGAAGACTCCTTTCTTCACTTCCTAGATTTTGTTAAACAAAAATGGGAACTGTGTACAAAACTGTCTCATCACTACCATAGAGGTAAAAAAAATCCCTTCTCTTTCCGATCTGTGTTGAAGTTTCTCATTGTGCCACTGGATGGCATATGTCTTCCTAAGTTTAAAGTAGTTCTTTACAGACAACCTCTGCAAGCTTTGTGCAAGTTACATTTGTCATTTATGCTGTTTTAATTTAATACAGAGGTACTTCATAAGCGTAATAGCTTTTAAAAATACTGAATATACACAAATTTTCAATGATATTGCAGTTTCTTAGGTCCCAATATTTTCCCACTTTACTACAGATTGAGTTACATACAGCATCTAGAATGCAGAGAAGTGCTTTTGAGTGTGTGTATGTATTAATTGACAATCATCTGATGTTCCCATGTGGATCAAAGAACAAGGATGTTAAGTCATGTGCCCAAGAGAATTGTGATAATACAGAGCGTAGGTTGTGCTTGGTAGGCAAGTGGATCTCAGAAATCAGCAAGTGGTGTTGCCAGAACAAAAGTTTGGTTTTGTTACTATTTTTCTAGAGGAGCCTGGGAATGGGGAATTAGACTGCCGAAAGGTGATGGAGTGGTGATTTATGCTGGATGTTTTCATCTCTGTTCAAGGAGTCTTTCAGATGATGCTCCTTTTCATTAGGAATGTATGTACACTCAAAACTACTCTTCTCTTCTCACTGACAATTGACCTACAAGATTCAGATTCCCCCAAACAAATGACAGCATAGGTATCTGAACATCTAAACAGCTTATCAGATCAATGAGCTTTCTCTTACACTTGAGAATGTGCCACTTTACTGTTAGTATTTAACTTACCAATTTTTTCCACAGATATTATTACAAGTACCAAAAATTGGATCTACTGTAAACGCAGATAAGATTTCTGGGTTTCAGCAGGAGTCAACAGAAGAAATAACTGTCTTGCTGCTGTGGCAGGGAGGTGAAAAGGAACTACTAACCAGTAATTAATGGCTGTATTTTTTTGGTATCTACACTGTTTGTTTGAAATGTAGTATGATGCTTTGCAGCAAGCTTGTAAATACTTTAGTATGTAATATTAAATTATTTTGTACAAGCAACTAGGCCTTATCCTGGGCATTGTTCTGTAAGGACTCCATGAGGATGATTTTTCAGTTCATTTAGATTTTTAAAAAAGCGTGAGTGAAGAACAGCAAAACAGATTGCATTAATGGACTTATTTTTGGCTCTTGCTCTGCCAAGATTTCTAGATTTCTCTAGTAGCATTAGCATCTGAAGAGGTGATGTCTACTTGAGTTAACAGGTGTTAACACTGGTTTTAAAGGTAACTTCGTGTCCTGGAAATGGGTATGTTAAGCATTCATTTCAGCAACTCAAAAGTCAATATTACCCTACCATTAAACCTCCTGAACGCTTAGGCCTGCAGAACTGTAGAGGTACAGAACTCTGTGTGTTCTGCTGGAAATTGATTTCTAAACATGAACATAGGTCGCCTTTACCCTGCCGCTGCTGAAGGCTGGCTCTTTGTGATCAGCACTGTCTGAGCACACCCACTGCCCAACCACTGCCATCTCAGAGTCCTTCCCACTTCATCTCAGTTATTTTGTAGTATCACCTACCTCACTGTTTCTTTTAATGCCTTCAGACTTGTGCAGAGGAAGTAGGTGCCTTACATGAATACAAGGGTGGAAAAAGAACTCTTACAGCTGAACTGTCTCAAGAGCTGGATATTGGCATTCTGGATTTTCAGGTTACTGCTTGCACTATGTGGTATGTAGGTTAGATTTCCAGTGCTTCCAGTTCAACTTGTGGATCAATAATCCATAAATGTCATTCTCCAGCAGTTTGCTGAATGCCTTAGAAAACACAGACAAGAGCACAGTTTTTTTCCACTTGAATTCATTGCAGGCTAAAGTAATCTGGATCCATACAGTCTTCTCACTACAACACCCCTTACTCAGACTCTTCTATAGAAATAAAGGAAGTTTTTCAGTGTTTTAAAATGATAGTATGGCTTTCCAAACCTCTTGAATTCTGAGTTTTGTTTCTCAGTATTATCACCCAGAATATTCATGCCTTGGAAAATAGTTCTGTATTTCCACAGAGAGCAGGTCAAGGAGTAATGTAGAATCTACAACTTTAATTAGTTTGACTGCATTTGAAAATACCTGTGGAAGTTTAGACCCTGAGCCTTTTCCCATCGCTCTGGGGTAGAAGGAAGTGCAAATAAATGCTGCTAGATTAGTCTATGAACAAGTATTGTATAAACATACTATATGGCTCAAGGTTAGAAATTACACCATTAAGTTATTTTTCCTTTAATCATTAGTAGAATGAGTTCTGCCAATAACTCCTTGAAATCCTCTCGGGTATGGTTCTAATTATCAATATCCTTTTTCTTGCAAATACTAAGCCACTGGTAATTATGCAAGAATCTAGAGCCCCTAGGAGATAGAGGTGAGCTCCTTGATGTAGCTTTAAGCAAAACTGAAAGTTATGTATATAGTAAGTTGTGCTTATGATGATTGTTCAAGTAGAGGAGGGTCCAGAGTAAAAGAGGTGTTTATCGTAAGGGTATTCTAGGAGTCCTAAGAAAAAACATTTATTTTCCCCCAAACAGTTTTGTAGCTTCAGTACAAGAAACGGGCTAATACTGACAAACTAGTTGGAGAGTACCACACGTAACTGTGGAGTTGGCCGTAGCAGCCTGAATATTGCTGAGTTTTGTTTTTGTTTCTCTCGATGAGGCTATAGAGGACAGAAATGTGAACCACAGTCTGTCTTGTCCTTCCCTTCAGTTACGAAAGCGCTACTTCTTATTTTCATCTTTTGTCTGACTCTTAGAGAAAGTGTAATTAATTACTAGGCTAGCTCTCTGCCCCAGGGAAGGAAATTTTATTCATTTTGAGGCCGCAACAATATCTACTCTTGTTCTGCTTTTCTCAAAGGGAAGGCATTTTCCCCTGTTTTGGTTTTAAGCGAAGAATGACTACATAAAACTTCATTCAAAGTGGAAACTGGCTCTTCCATATTAGTGAATAAAGGTTATGGGTCACAGCCAGTTAATGGGCAGTACAGAAGAGCTTATTTATGCAGTGATTCAGGAGAGAAATCTGTTCAGTGTCAGTAGGGCTGCTCTCTCACATCCCAGACACGATGAAGTCTTAATGGCTTGAATGGAATCGCTGACAGTGAGTCAGTCCATGTAAGAACTGCGATAATACTTTATCGTTAGGAGTTGTGCATTCCAGATGCATGGTTAATAAACGCATTATACATAAATCTAGAAGAGGTTTTTCATTAACACTGTTCAGTTATTTTTCTGTTATCTGGGGCGTACTTCTAGGAGACTGGCTGGACGTGCTCGGAGATGATGGAAGCTGTTTGCTGCTTGCACCGGAGTAGGGGTACGTGTACTGGCTGTTGGTGGGTAAAGACCTTACATGCAAATGGTTCTGGTTTGGTTCCTAATCTCTAAACACAGAAAGGAGAGCTCTGGGGCCCAGGGCAGCGTGTACTGAATGGACACATAAGTTGAAATTCATGTTCTTTTATGTAAGTACAGAGATTTGCCTACAGGGAGGTTTTTACAGGAAAATGGATGATTAAACTTGTATTTATCCCTCTCTCTTACTGTCTGTCCTCCCCTCCGTCAATTAAAGTATGTCCATCAAGCCTATCAGAATCACATGCTATTAATTTAGGAGTTTGGGAACAGGTTAATATTTACTTTTAAAGGGACTCTATCAGCTTGAATTGTAATGCACTTGAGATTAGATAAATGATGATTGCTGTAAATTGTGAAACTACTCAAAGCCGAGTTGTATATCCTGGCCAAAATTCTGATATTTCATAGTGTTCCCTGAGGACTTGTATTTGAGACTGCATTTCCATGTCTGTCTTGAGGCTGGGAGGCTTTCACATGGTGAAAGGATGTCAAGATCACTCATCTGTAAATCTGGCAGGCAGGTGTATCTTCCATACAGAACAAGAGGAAAAAAAAATGCATCTAAACATGAATTCCTATTTTCTCTTAGAATTACCTTCAACCTCCAGAAGGTGAAAAAGTTCCTACAGATGGCTGATTGTGAGGAATCATTATATAGATATGTTACACATGCCCTGAATTGTGCCTTTTAAAAATAATCTGCTTAATTTAGTCTTACATCATATGCTGTTTTAGTTTAATTCCATTTTCTAGGGAAAGCAGATGAGTCAGTTTTGTCAGTCCTTAATTAAACTTTCTAGTAGTGTTGTATCTGAACAGTGAGACGTGGAAGGAGATTCAACTCTAACCAGTGTTTCCATTTCATTTAAACATGCACTAATAAAGAGTTTTGCAAAACTCCATTGATCCTTTTGGTCCTACAAAATCTATCACACTTTAGTCTTATATATTTGTTCTGGCATCACCTGATGGGTATTATGTTCTAAATACTATTTTGTAGGTGGATGGTTTATTTGTAATGATGGCTTCCTCTGCCTGCAAATACAGGTGCTCTGCCTTCTGTGGGGGTTGTGGATAGAGTGCACCCGAGCTGTGCTATTTCTGTTACTGCTGTGGGAGAATCACTTCATATACACGTGGGGAAGAAATTGGGCAGGGGTTGGATTTTCTGGGTTTGGGGTTACAAAGTCCATGCCTGCTGCACCCCTGCAGGACACGTCCCTAAATCGCCAGCTCCAGCACCGAGAAGGATTTGATGCCTTGACCTCTTTTTTGCCTCTAACTTCCCTCTGAAGAAGGAAAACAAACCAGCGGCGCCTTCTCACCGCCCCCAGGGGAAATACCTCAGCCCTACCCGCTGGAACCCCGCGGCTCTGCGGGGGGGGGGGAGCAGCCGTGTGTCCTCCCGCCCCTCCAACCCGCTGCTGGGGCTGGCGGGGACCGCTCAGCGCTTCTGGGCCTCCGGTTCTCCCCGCTCCGGGGCTCCGGTTCTTACCCCTCCGCGGGGCTCCGGCTCCCCCCGCGGCCGCTCCCCCCGCGGGGCCGCAGCCAGTGAGCGGCCGGCGCAGCTCCCGCCCGGGCCCGCCCTCCCCTCCTGGCAGCTCCGAGTGACTAATTTCTGTCATATGACTGTGACACCGAATGGAGTCGGGCGGGCGGAACTAGCCGCGGCGAAGGGACGGCGCTGCGCGGAGCCCAGCGCCGCGGCGGCTCCCCAAGATGCCGCCCACCCTCTTCCAGAAGCTTTTCAACAAGAAGCACGGGCTCATTTCCCCGACTAGGGACGCCCGGGACGACTGTGTCTTCAGGTAAGCGGGACGGGGCTCGCCCTTCTTCCCTACCCTGAACTTTCCGCGCCCGCTGCCCCGCTCCGGAGGAAGGCGGGGGGCAGCACCCCCCCACACCCCCCCCCCCCCGCAGCCCCCTCAGCTTCCCGCATCCCGCTGGCCCCGGGCTCCGTTCCCCGCCCCGGGGACGCTGAGGAGCCCCCTGAGGCGGCCGCTGGGCTGGAGCCGTGTGTCCGTCCCGCTTCTCCCCCGGGGAGGGGGGGGGGCGGCCGCCGCGCTGCTTCCTCACCCCCTTTCCTCTCCCCCTCAGGGCCGGGCCGATGCCTCCCAGCCCCCGGGCTGCCTCCCCTCAGCGCGGCCCACCCGCTCCATGTCCGCTCCCTGTCGCGATCACCCGCCGTTCCCCTTCCCCGCCACGACACGGGGGCGGGCGTGGGGGCCCCGTCCCTGCGGGGATGCTGCGGGTTGGGGAGGCGGGGGGGGGGGGGGGGAAGCCGCCATTCCGCTTGACGATCCCCGGGGAGCAACCTCAGAAACGTGAAGGAAACGGGGTGAGGGGGAGAAAACGTGAAGTTTTGGCCGCTGCCAATAGAGGTGTAGGGTTTCTCGTGAAATTTGTCATGCTCTAACCGCAACAAAAAAACTGGATCCACCGAGGGGTGCCAAGCGCAACACGGGGGGCCAGGGAAGGGAGCCCTTCTTCAGGAGACCTTTCCCTGCCCGCTCGAGTCGGCTGTGGGGTCACAAAACCCCCCGTCTCGGTGGGGTTGGGGGGGTGGCCCCGGTTTGCTGTCCTGCGTGGGGACATGGTGCGGGGAGAGGCTTCTCTTGGGCTTCTGCGCCGGGGCCTAGAAATTACGCAGGGCCTCCTCGGGGGTTAGTTAATGTGAAAACAGGTAGTTTTTGTGGCTATAAAATAAGTGTTGTTCCACGAGTGGGTAATGGTTATGCTCAAAAGCGATGCGGTCCCAGTCCCTGGCTGACGTAGCGAAGAGGTAACCTGCAAAATCGTTTTAAAGTGCAGCGTTTGTGACTTGGATGCAAATACAATACCCTTCATTAGTAAGAGTTATGCAGTTCTTGAAACACTTCTAACAGTGTGGTAAAGCTCTCCTCCCACCCGCTGCCTTGAAATTTATTACCTACAAATGATCAGCCCTTGGGTTGCTCCGGAAAGGGAGATTTCTGACTGATGGGCGTGATTTTATGTGGTGGGATATTCCTTTTAACTGCAGTGATACAATTTAGCAGTTTTGGGTGGTGAACAGTGTATCTGTAGGAATTGTCACAGTTTTCGCAGAATCTTGATGGGTCTTTTTGCGCCCTTGGAGAGCCAGGACAGGCTCCTGGGTGCTACCTGAACCCTGTTCTTTAACTGCTAGCACACACCTTTTAAAGACACTGATCACAGCTGCTCTCTGCTATTTACTGCAAAGCTGGTTCCTTTTTTTTTTTTTGAGGATCTTTTTGAAGACATAAAAACGTTTCAATGATGTCTGTGTCACCTTATTTTCTAAATCAGCTTCATACTGGGATCAGACCCCTCGGTGCAAAAGGGGCACTAGGACTGCTCTGTATAATTGCCTTGCCTTTTCCCCCCTGTTAAGACATTTGTTAGTGATGGGTTTGTATAGGCACTGGTGGTTAATTCAACAGCTGCAGTGCAGACCCTGGGGCAGAAGCATGGGGATCACTCTGTGCTGATAGGAGCAAGAGTGGGTGCCCTGCAAGGTCTCCTCTTCCCTCTTCACCTGCATCATTCTGTGCCAAACTGGACACGAAATTTAAAAAAGATAGGTCACTCTGTCTGCTCTTCCCTCCTCTGTTTATCTACTGCTCTTTCACTTTGTGATGTGAGCTGTCAACGGGTATCTAGAGAATTTGCAGTTATTTTTTCGGGCAGACTTGCAGGTATACAATCCCAGGAGGAGGCTGATGGTTCTTCTGATTGAGACTCTGTGGGGGTGGGAGACCCGGCTCTTCCTTCAGAGAGCCACGTATTATTTTCTGAAGACTAATACAGATGCCCTCTAGGCATGTTGCCTAACGGCTGCTTTCATTTTCCAAATGGGGATAAGTCTTTAGTTAATCCTCACTATGTATGGTTTTATCGGTTACTGGTGTAACTTTTGGGTAATGCACAAAATAAAGACTGTTATTTATTACAGCTTGGTCTTTAGAGACTGGAAACAAGCACTCTCGGTTTTGATACTGTTCCTGGTTCCAGTAAACCTGAAGGCAACTGCCTCATCAGTTACATAGGGGCAAGGTTATGTTTCTGGGTTGATATATTATTATCTGGTTATATTCTAAGTAACAGAACGTTTTCCAAATATTCTGAGTGCTGTTATTTCTGACTGTCTTCACTTTGAAAGCTTTGTTCTCTTACTGAGGAGACTGTAGAACAACCATAAAAAACCCCAAACAAACAAGCATAAATTCTTTTAATGGAGTTTGTGAATAATATGTACTTAGAGAGAAAAGCCCAATGGCTCTGGCAGTGACATAAATATAGCAGAAAATTTAAGGATGAGTTTGGCACTCATTCTTTTTTTTGACTATGAATGTATTTTGCATTTCCATCAGGCTTACTGTGAAAATTTACCATTATATAAATTCTGCTTAATTTGAGTTTACACTGTTTCAAAAATAGAAGAGTAAATTTCAGGGGAAATGTATTTTGTTTAGTTGTTGGTTTGTTTGGTTTTGTTTTGTTTTGTTTTTTTTCCAGCCCATCATCTCTTTCTGTTCTGTGAGGGTGTGAAATTTTATGAGTCTGGGTCTAGCCAGACTCTGTAAAATTCTTCAGAATTAGATGTTGGAGAGTTTAACAGTTCTAGTGAGGTGATCAGTAAGTTAGCAACTGTAAAATATTTGCTGATGTACCAGTTTGCCATTTATTTATTATATATGTATATATATAAGCAGTTATTTTACAGAAGAAGCCTTAGAAAAATCACAATAGATCCACTACATATTAGTATTTTAGGTCTTCAGTTTAACTGAGGGCAGCTGGCAGGCTTGGCCCTTAAACTGAAATCTCTTAGTACAGCTCAACATTCGCATGGTGAGCAAGAATATTCAAAATTTTAGTGGTAAAATTTGTTTACAAGAAACACAGAAACACCTGCAAGTATTCCAGAGAAGAGACAAACCCTTAAGTTCCAAGGTGTCGAGTACCCGCTGCCTACTGCAAATAATACTCACGTGAGTGGATTTTCCCTGAGGGTAACTTTTACTATAAATAGGAGCTCTTGGCCATATTGTAGAATCTGGCACTGGTGGCTGCTGGTGTCAGGAGAGCTCAGCCCAGACTTGGGCTGTTACAGTTATTAGAAATATGAGATTTCAGGTATGCTGTTTTCTAGAATTTTAGAATCCAAATATTCCTGTTGTAAAAATACATAAAGCTGTTCACAAAAGTTGTGTAAATGCATTTGCACTTCTAAATAGCAATTAAATGAATCCTGTTCCAGAATCTTGTGATCACTTTCCCCAGTAAAATGGAAACAATCTTACAAAAACTTCCTTAAACTAAGCAGAAGCTGCCCCGCATTTCTGCTAAATACTGTAAGGGCACACAAAGTCTTCCACTGCACATTTGCATTACTGACTGCCACAGGGCCTGACTGTGAGCTGCTATTTCTTTTCTGGCTTTCTAGGGGTCTGCTTCAGTGCTCTGGAGAAGAAGGAGCTGCTAAACCACTGATAACTCAACCGGCTTTTTATTCTTCATAATGGGCTCAGTTAGAACGAGCCCAAAGCTCAGTAAATTACTGAGAGGTCTCAGGGTTTGTATCTTTGTTGTTTAGATATGTGGGCTGTATTTCCAATGGTAAATACAGCTGTAGGGACTGCAGCAGAGTTTTTCCAGGAGAATACGTCCATTGAGATAGTAATTGGGTTTGAAGAACTATTAACCTATTGCAGAGGGAGAGGGGTGATCCTGTAATACTGAATTATGGGACTGGGTTGTATGTAGGAGGGAAACTCAGTGTTTTTTTCCATCTTATGTATAAAGTTCAAATACTTGTTCCCTGGAATCACTAGACATTCTTTCCACCTAGCAAGGGGATAGAGGGATTATTAATTAGGAGTTCTTTTCACACTACAGC